TGAGCCACACCTTCAGTACTCCAAGGAAATTTTATTGTTATATGCAGTGTTGATGATCATTTTTCATTGTAGCTACTTCATGGTCTCTTGATTTCAATATGGATAGAGAACTCATATCTTTGTGTGGTAGAATTTTTATTATATCATCATCTTCACCAACATTACTTCTTTTCTACTTTCCTCATTTCTTTTGGTGTCTTCTGTTACTTAAATGTTGATTCTCTTTGGTCATATAATTTTCCTATTTTCTTTCCTATCTTCCTATCTGGTCTGTGAGCTCCGTAACTAAATTCTGTCCCTTCTGCTTTTTGTTCTATTTTTAAATTTAAATACAGTAAAATTAACATTTTTCTTACACAGTTTTACAACTTTTGGCAATTGTGTGATCATGTAACCACTATCATAGTCAAGGTACAGAACAGTTTCTTTACTCTTATACATCCCTTCCAGCCATCCCTTTGTAGTTAACGCTTTCTGAAACCCTAACTCCTAGCAACAACCCATTCATTTTCCCTTCCTTTAATTTTGCCTTTTCCATATATGTCATATAAATACAGGCATATATTCTTCAGGCTATTGAATCTTCTTTCACTAAGCATGATGTTTTTGAGATTTAAATATGTTCTTATATGTATCAATATTTCATTATCTTTTATTACTGGGGAGTATTCTCTTGTATGGATATACCACAGCTTGTCCATTCACCAATTGAAGTACATTTAGATTCTTTCCAGTTTTGTTGAATCATGGTTATCAATAAATTTACCATAATCATTCACATGTGGGTGTTTGTGTGACTGTTTCTCTTGAGTAGATACCTAGAAGTGGAATTACTGGGTCATGTGGTAACTATGTTTAATTTTGTAGGAAACTGATAACTATTTTCCAGAGTGGCTGTATTGTTTCCACTAGCAACATGAGAGGTCCAGTTGTGTGAAATCCTTGTCAACACACAGTATTGCCAGTTCAAGTTTTAAAATTTTATTCATTCTAGAATGTACGTAATGTATCTCATTAAATATATACAAATGGTTGAGGCTAGAGGTGTGGCTCAGTGGTAGAGTATATGCCCATCATGCTCAGGGCCCTGGGTTTGATCCCCAGGACAGAAAAACAACAACAAAAAGATAAAATGGCTAAAAAAAAACACAAGAAAAGAAAGTCTATTATTAGCCACTGGGGAAATGAAAATCAAAACCACAGTGAAATTCCACTTCACACCTAATAGGATGGCTATTATCAAAAGATGGAAAATAACAAATGTTGGTAAGGAGGTAGAAAAATTAAAACCCTGGTAAGGAATATTAAAATGGCACAGCTGCTACAGCTGCTGTGGAAACGTTTAACAGTTCATCAAATGGTCATAGAATTACCATATGATCTAGCAACTCAAGATAATTGAAAACGTGTCTAAGTAAAAATTTTGTATGAGAATGTTTATGCATAATAAGTAATAAATATAAGAAATATTATGCATAATCAAAAGTGAAAGCAACCCAAATTTCTATTAACTGATGAATAAATTGTGGTTTAACTATACAATGGATTGTATACTACGACATGGGTGAACCTTGAAACCTTTTGCTGTGTGTATAAAGCCAGTCATATTACAATTACATATTGTACGATTACATTTATTTTATACGTGCAGGATAGGTAAATCTGTAGATCAAAATGTAGATTAGTAATTGCCTGGAATTGGCTATAGGATATAGGGTTTCATTTTGATGAAAAATTGTAGTGATGGATGCACAACTCAATATATAAAAAGTAATTGAATTACATACTTTGAGTTATTTGTATGTGACACATCTCAATGCTGGTATAAATTCACTGGTTTTAAGAGTACAACCCAGTAATTTTTAGTGAATATACAAAATTGTATAAAGATCACCACAGTCTTAGAATATTTTTCTCATTCCAAAAAGATCCACTCTGCTTGTTTGCTGTCAGTGTATATTCCTACCACAGCCCTGTAACTACTAATTTGCTATCTTCATAGATTTGTTTTTTTGACATACTTTATATAGATAGAAACATGTATCTTTATTGTTTATCTCTTGGGATCATATATCTTCTTTAACATAGAGGCCAGTTTCTCCACATCCTTGTTAATACTCATTGTGTTATTTATTATAGCCATGCTGGTAGGTGTGTAATGATGTCTCATTGTGGTTTTAATTTGCATTTTCCTAATGGCTGATGATGTTGAACATCTTATGTGCTCATTATTCATAGCTTTTGCTCATTTTAAAAACTGCATAGTTTTCTTAAATTGTTGACTTTTGAGAATTCTTTTTGCCTTTTTTTCTTGTGGTACTGGAGATTGAACACAGGGATGCTTGCTAGGTAAGCGCTCTGCCACTGAGAGTCCCTGAGAGTTCTTTATATATTTTTAATACAAAGTTTTTTTGGTTAGGTATGTGATATGAAAATGTTTTCTTCCAGTTTGTTACATATATTTTCACTCTCCTTAGAATATTACTTGTAAAGCAAAAGTTTTAATCTTGATAAAGTATAATTAATCAATTTTTTTCTTTAATGCTATATTTAACAACTTTGCCTAATCCAAGGTCTTGAAGTTTTTTTCCTGTGTTTTCTTATATAAGTGTTTGCTAAAGAAATTTAAATTTATACATTTATTTCTGAGGAAATACTGGTTCAAATTAAAATATACAATACAAAAGCACATCAAGTGGGTGTCCTTCCAGTCTTTTGCTTGCTGCCTTCACCCTCTTGGAAACCAGCCAAGGGATACACCTAAATTTGATTATATTTTACATTTAGATCTGTGACTTTTTTGAGTTTATTATCTTACAGGGTATGAGATATAGGACAAGGGTTATTTTTGCATTATGACTATTACTTTTCTGGCTCTATTTGATGTCAGTACTTTTATCTATTAAGTTGTATTTGCATCTTTACCAAGGATCAATTGAACGTATTTGTGTGGGTTTACTTCTGTGTGCTTCCTTTGGGTGTACTTTTCCCTCTGTCTATTTTTTGTCTTCCTGTTCCTCTCTTTTCTGGTCTTTGTTTCCAGTTACCTCCTGTTACTTTTCTCTGATTCTCTCCCTCTCCTGATTTTCCCTTCTTCCATTCCCTTATTCAAAATGAAGTATATGAGTTGTATTAGTTGAAGTTTTATATAGCATATTTTTAGCTTAAAAGCAATAGATAGGATGAATTTGTATTTTTTATTTTTAATATATGCCGAAATTCATTAACTTTTATAACCCTTGATTAACTCTTCTCAGTGAAGTACTAATCTTAAGATGGTGCTTCCAAACAGTATATTTCAGAACTTTTGCAAAAGGCATCACTTCTGTATTGTGGTTTCATTCTTTTCTTTCTGGTGGTACTGGGGTTTGAACTCAGGGCCTCATGCTTGGTAGGCGGGTGTTCACTTGAGTCAGGTCCCCAGCCCACTGCGATTTCTTTAGAAAAGAGCAAGTAGTTAAGGTAATTTCAAATTAGCACGCTAAGGGAAGTCAAGATTTTTATTCCATGCTAACTTATTTAATTCCTAAATTACAAATGATTATTGACAATTTTCATATGGAGTCATAATTACTATTGTAACCACGGATACAAGAAAAACAGATTGCTTAAATATTGCAACTTCTCCAAAGCCAGCTTTGGCTTAATGTATCTATGTGTTTTTGGATTTGGGCATTTGAATAAAAAATAAGACACTTGATAGTGGAATCAAATAGTGAGTGGTCCTGTCTTTTCCCTTAATACTGTACTTGATTTTCTCAGCATCCAGAGCAGTTTTTCTGGCAAATATAATACATTGAAATCTGCCTCTCATGTCCAATACCTCTTATATGTGTTACAGCATCTTTATTGTATCCTAATAGAAAGTCATTGGGTGAGATTTTCATGCTTCCATTTGAATTTTTATTGTTTCCACTTTGAAGTAACACTCTTTGCATTTCCCTTTTTATTAGTGCTGTACAGTTGTTTGGATACACTTCTCAAGAATTGTAGCAGGGTTTGCTAGCATAGTTAAAATAGGTTTAGTTTCTGTAATACAAGCAGATGGTTATCCTTCAGCCTCATACCTGAAATATCCACATAATTGCTTTGGCAATTTACTTTGCTTGAATCATGACCCATAGATGAAGGGAGGTCCCTCCTCCTTTGTTTTTTAAAAAGATATATTTTTTTCATAGGGTCCTCCTTTTGTGCCCTGGCTGGCCTGGACCTTGGTCCTTCTGTTTATGCATCCCATGTAGCTGGGATGACAGGCATGAACCACCAGGCCCAACTTTATTTTTTAATTAGTTGAGATGGGGTCTTTGTGGGGCTGCCTCCAACCAGGATCTTCCTGATCTCCACCTCTCTTGCAGCTAGGATTATAGGCATGAGCCAACATGCCTGGCTTTAAAAAGATGTTTTTCTTTTTGTGGTACTGATGTTTGAACTCATAACCTTGTGCTTACTAGGCAGGTGCTCTACTGTAGCTTGAGCCACAACACCAGCCCTTTTTGTGTTGGGTCTTTACGAGATAGGGTTTCTAGAAGTATTTGCCTGGGGCTGACTTCAAACCATGATTCTTCTGATCTCTGCCTCCTGAGAAGCTAGGGTTACAGACTTGAGCCACTGGTGCCTGGCTAACAAGCTGTCCTTCATGCAAAACCTTAGTAGTTAAATTCAGATTTATTCCCCATGCTTCCCTGAAACTCTGAAGGGAACAGGAAATTTGCAGACAGTAGTTGAAAATTCAGGCACAGATCTTAAAACAGACTAGTTTGCATTCTACACACCTGATCTTTATTGTAGTTCCCTTTACAGCCTCGTGCAGCAGTTGCCTGGAGTTAAACTGCAAACTCCGTTTTCCTCTGGTTCCAGAGCTCAGCTGCTTATGCATACTTTCCTCAACCTTAGACTGATTGGGTTAATCCTACCCTTCAGCTACTGAGCACCACCTTCCTCCTGTGTCTCCTCAAGTTCCCCTATTCCTGGGGCATTGGCTCTTCCTCTTCTTTTCACAGGGTACTGCCTTGTCCTGGGCTATCCAGCCCCTTGCTTCTCCTGCTCCTGGGAAGTGCCAAGATACCACTCCGCTGACTCCAACTGCCATCTCGTGCCTAGACGTTGAGCTGTTTTCTGGATACCTGCATACACAAGCCCTTGTCACCATTACCTACTCCTTCCTGTGCCCTGCTTGTTCCTTCTTTCCACACTGTGTGCAAGATGAATAAAGGGTGGAAAAAGTACTGCGGCCAGAAGTCTTTGAATGAGGCATCAATGGATGAATATTTAGGCAGTTTAGGTCTGTTTCGGAAGCTGACTGCCAAGGATGCCTCTTGCCTCTTTCGGGCTATTTCTGAGCAGGTAAAGCAAAAAGAAACATGTCTTGCCTATACTGACTTTTCAGAGTTTGAGATTTGTGCAGTGATCCCGTAGATTCACCTGTAGTTTACCAAAAGAAACAAAAGCATTATCTTTTCTATTTCTTAGCAAAAACATTCAGGCCTGTATGAAAGCAGGTTTTCTGATTATTAGTGCAGACAGTCCTACGGTGTGTGCCATTGCTGACTAGTCCAAATATATTTCTTTACCTTTGCTACCTTTTCTGTTGTTTAAATGCCAGTTTAAAAATACAGGCAGTGTAAGATAAACTAAAGAAAACTAAAGTTATCTTGATCCTTTATAAGTACCCCCTGAGTTCTATGCCTAAGAAACAATTTACAGCCTATGCACTTAAGGATTAGAAGGGAGCACAACAGAAACGCCCCCATCTCATTAAAGTTTACATTTTTAGTAAGATAAGGACTTAATTTCCCTATTTTCTATATACATTCTAGATGAGGGAGGCTTGCATCCAGTTCATAGTCTTGATTTAGAAGCGTCTATTTTAAATGACTTTTGACGGTGAGTTGCTCTTTTCTTTTTTAGTTGTTTTGCAGCCAGGTCCATCATTTACAAGTCAGGAAGGCTTGCGTCTCATATATGAAGGAAAATCAGCAAACATTTGAGTCTGTAAGTAGAAATATGTATATTGGGGAGAGTTGTTGGTAAAGTAGGTAGGCAAAAAAATTCTAATCACTTACATATGAAAATTATTTCATACAGTCTCCTCTCTTTTCTCAATAGCAAATATTTAATTCCCAGCTGGTTTTCCACTAGCTAGCATTGTTCTGGACCTTCTCCCAGAATTCAGTTGTTTTGTATTCTAATAGAAAAAATACTGGGCATGGTGGCACATATCCATAATCCCAGTACTTGGGAGGCTGAGGCAGAATGATCTCCAGTTAAGGCAAGTCTGGGCTATGTAGTGAGACCCTATCTCAAGCAAAACAACTATTAAGAAAACAATTTTTGGTCTTTCTTACTCCCCCTCCACCCAAGCCAAACAACCTCATTCTCTAAAAAATTACATTTTTACTGCCATATTGTGTTATTCATACCACTGTTTTCTCAGACAATTAATAATTGATGATAGGTTTGGCTCCATCAGCTAAGATTTTAAAATGCACCTTTTAATATACGTGCAAGCTTCGTCAGTTTGAAGAACCTTGTAAAACTTAGTTGTCAGGAAACAAATTAGTCTTACTGTATAGTTTTTAAATAGTAATTGGAACTGTGCCACTAATGATTGACTTTTAGTAAAACAACTTTTATTGGACACTTTGTACACATTCAGTATTTGAATTTTTGTTAAGGAAACTAGAAGTTTTGATAAGGTCTGATTTGAAGTGTGCCCTTTCTTTTGGCATTTCATTTTTTGCATTTCTACCCCTTCCAGTACTAATTGTTTTTCCTTGACTGAATATTATGAGTATTTGCCTGCCTGCTGTTTGAGGTTTACTCTTAATTTTCTCAACAGGTTTCAGTGAATTTTAAAATACTGTGATGGCTTCTTTAAAGCTTGTTACCTGAAGTTGATTATATTCTTCTCCACACCTGGGGAAAGGATTGTGCACGATACTCAAATGCAAGACCATGGTGTAAAGCAGTTTATCTCAAGTATTTATGTGCATTACATCACCTGGGGATCTTGTTACACAGATTCTGATTTAGTAGGCCTGAGTTGAGATTTCTGCATTTTTAGAAAACTCCCAAGTAATGCATGCTGTTGGTTTCTTGGACTACATTTTGAGTAACAAAGATATGTGTAAAAATTTAAAACTATAAGGGTGAGTCTCAAAATGATTACACTGAGTGATAGAAGCCAGATATCCCCAAGAGAAAGTTTATACTGTGTGATTGCCTCTTTAAAAAACTCCAAGGGAAAAAAAAACAACTAATCTATAGTGACAGAAAGTTTAGGGGCCCAAGAAAAGTATGGAAGTGATAGACACTTCATTACCTCAGTTTTGAAAGTGGTTACATGGGTGCATACATAAGTTAAAATTTATTTGATTGCACTATTTAAATTATGCAGCCTACTGTATGTCAATTAGATCTGAAAACTTAAAGTGAAGAAAAATTATAAATTGATATTTTAAGTCTAGAGGTGTTTATGCTTTGAACTAGAAATATATTTCCTGAGTTTATTCAATTTCTTGCTTATTGAGACATATTTTACATATGATCAAATTCTCCATTTTAAGTTGAGCATCTTTCGTTTTGACCATGATATACACAGTCATGCAACTGCCATCATTGCCAGTATATGGAACATTTCTGTCACCCCAAAAAAGTTCCCTTGTGTCCTGGGCTTTTTTGAGATTAATGAAATTCTTTTTAAAATTCCTCAGCTTAACTTTGTAAGTACATGTCTCCTGTCAAATTTGAAACCTTTACAGTCATTGGCTTGCTTGATTTATGAAAATTATCAGGTAACTTAAGTTGGCATTTCAACAGAAACTCAGTTATATCATTGGATGAAATGCACTGGTATATAGATAAGCCAATTTCTAAGGTGCTTTTCTAGTTTGGCTTTTTGCTACTTCTTTTATTTATGTTATAATCTTCTTGAGGTGCTCTGCATACTAGTAATTTAATACCATAAATTTTAAGCTGAACAAAAAGCTCACAAGGATAATATTGCAGAATATAATCAGATTTCAGTAATGCTATGTATTTGGTTAAGTCAAGTTTGTTTTATTTTTGAAGTATGTGGAGGGATCTTTTGAGAAATACCTGGAACGGTTGGGAGATCCCAAGGTAAGATGAAATAAGGGGAATTTGATCTTTCCAGAGTAATTTAGAATAGTAACCTAAACATATATCTCTGTCACTATAGCCAGAACCAGCATATTTTCTTAAGTAGCCAGGTGTATTGAATGAAATAATTATTGCAAAAGTTTAGAGGCTGGGAATGGCCTATTTTGTGTTGAGTATTGAGTATTGTCTTAATCTCATCATCCATAGACTACTGAGAATACACACTGCTTAGGGAAAGGGGAAATGTTGGGAAATTTAAAGCCTTCTCACTTTAATAGGGGAGGAGGGTGGTAATGTTACTAAGAACTCATTATTTTTGTAATTTAATAATGCTGATTTATACTTTATTGTATGGGAGTAAAATCCATAAGCATACTATTTAGAAATAACTTTTATGTGATAAAATTAATTCCATTGTTCTGGACTTAAAGTATACTTACTAAATACCCTGGTACCTTTGTATTTTATACTAGTTCCACTTTTGTGCCTTTAAATCTCTTCCATTGTGTCATTATTACCTAATGGCTTAGAAGGGCTTTAAATCCATTTTTTCATGATAAGTTTATGTCATTAAGTAACTATCATATTCTAATCCTCAGAACAAGTTACAGTGTGTTCTACAAATCCTCTATCTAAAACAATGCTAGATAGCTAAAAAAAATTGTTGAACTTGCAAAAACTTCTTCTTAGCTATAAGATGCCTTTAAAAGCTCTGTATACTATTTATGTTTAGGAAAGTGCTGGCCAACTGGAAATCAGAGCTCTTTCTCTAATATATAAGTAAGTTACATCCCCTTTTCTTACAGTGTGAATGAGTGTGTGTGGGTGAGCGGGCATGCACATGTGTGCGCAAAAGGCTTCTATTTGTCCATTTAGGGTTGGGCAAATTTGAGAGTTGATATATTGAAGATGTAGAATGAAAAGGTCTAAGTAAAGTCAGTTTAGTATAGTGTTTGGGTGTTACAGATGCTATCTGTACATGTGTTTCAGTTTGAATGGAAAAATAAAGGACTTAACCAGCTAGAATCTGGATGTGGTGGCACATATTTTGTAAGCCTGTTATCCCAGCACTCCAGAGGCTAAGGGCAGGAGGTTTGTGAGTTTGACTCCAGCCTGAGTTACATATCCATACACTGTCTCAAAAAGCAAAAACCTGCTGGTATTTCCTGTAGGAAATCAGAATATTTATCTTAGAAAAGTTGAGTGCTTAACTGTGCTCTTTTTCATGTATTCTTATTGGAACAGTATAGTTCCAATAGGCTGAAAATTGTTTTGGGGAGTGAAGAAGAATCTTAGCTTTTCCAATGGTTTGTGTACCTCAGAGGGTCACAGTACATAAACACACACATTACTTAAGAAAAGTCTCCTTAGGAGCATGATACTTGGGGTGGGGGGGGAGATGGAGTAGACAAATACCTTTCTGTTGCTTTGGAAGTTCCATTTGGTCTTTAAGGATACAAAAATAACTTTTGAGGAAGCTATAAGGTTTTGAAAAATAGCTATGTAGAGGCTAGTGGAAATCTTCATTTGAGAGTCTGATCTATATGACTCCTTCACAGATTTTAGAATGCTGAGATATGTACTTGGTTGAATCAGAACCCTTTTCTAATGGGGACTTGTTCAAGTCAGTGTTTTGAAGTCTGATCATTTCTTATTAAATCCAGTATAGAAGTATAGTCGAGGCATTGAACAGGTAGCTAATCACATTTATTTAGCCTCAGCCTCTTAGGATTACAGTTTGTTGTCACCACCCCTGGCTGACTTGTCATTTTAAAATCATAAATCAGCTTTGAAATTGGGCCTATGCCTGTTTTTGTATGTACCTTGAGATAAGAATGATTGTTTAAAAAATCTTGAATGATTAAAATGTCAAAAAAAAGACTTTCATGGTGTGTGGAAATTAATATGCAATTCCAATTTTAGTGTCCATAAACAAAGCCTATTGGCAGCAGTCATGCTCATTCACACATGTATTATCTGTGCCTGCTTTCATGCTATAAAAACAAATTAGAATAAACCATAAACCATATGGCATGCAGAAGCTAAAATTGAAAATGTTTATTATCTAGTCTTTTATCCCTCCCCCCCAATTTGCAAACCTCTGCTTTTTGGGTCCCCCCAAAACTCACATTCATATAATTGTTAATTTTTCTCAGTTACCCCTCCTCTTTCCCCCAAATAAAGATACATTTAGAAAAACCCTTAGGGGTGATTAGCTGTCTACCTTGAATTAATATAATATAGCTTCTTTGGAGTATTTTAAAGCTAAACATCAAGCTGAACATTTGTATTATTTTATAGAAATAAGGTAGGTAGTTTAAAAGTACAAATACTTGTTCCTACTTCTTAGATATACTAACTTCTCTCTTCCCACCCACCTTTGTTTTCTACTGATGTAGTCGGGATTTCATTCTTTATCACCATCCTGGAAAGCCACCAACTTATGTCACAAATAATGGCTATGAGGACAAGGTAAGATGAATCAATGTTGACTAAATAAAAGAAATTGAATGCTCTAGCTGACTTATCAGGATATCAAATAATATTTTTAAGCCTAATTCATGAAAAACAAAGTGTAAATGACAATATGATATCCTTTTCCTCTTCAGTCAGTCATCCTCAGTATTGTTAGCTACCTCTTTAAACAGGTCTGTTCTTGTTACTGTAATAGGAAAAAAGTAACACTTTAAGTCCTAATTGGCTCATAGTGACTGGAAGATAAGGCTTCAATTCTGAAGCTAGGCATTCAGTTTCCTAAAGGTACCAAACCTCCTTACCAGTTTCATTATCTTCCATCCTTAGGATACCATGCTTCCAGATAGCCCAGCTTTCATATTTTCTGTGTATTTGTACCTCAGATCTCAATTCCTCTAAAACTTTTCCAACTCCCCTGGAGTTATTTCTTCCTTCTTTGTCCTTCTTTGCCAGTTCCCAAGTAGTTACGGTATTTATAGCCTTGAATTTTTACTTGTGTCTGTTTCTTTCATGAGTAGGAAAATTTCTTGAGAGCCAAAGTTCTACTGCCTAGTTAAGTGCTTGGAAAATAGTAGGAGGTGTTTAAGAATACTCAACAATTGACTTGGTTTTCCACATAGTTTTTTTCCAAAAAGTTTTTAAGAAAAACCTTTTATCCTGAGTATATGATTAGTGAATATGGGGTTATGTAGTGTATTAGTTTCATAAGTCTTGTTTCATATCATGAGACACAATTCTAATGATGATAAGGCAAGACTAGAAACTGGGAAAATTTTATTATGCTGTTAGAATAATCTAGGGGAAAGAACTGAACTAAGGAAGCGATATCATCAGGAACAGAGAAGACTGAATAGGCGATAACTTAGAAGATAAATATAAATTGTGACACTATAGTTACTTTACCAATGGCTACCATCTAATTTGTTCAAATAACATTAAGCCCCTATAGTGTCAGCAAGACTTTTCTTGGCTTTGAGTATTCCAAAATACTAACCTTGGTTTCCGAAGGCTTAAGGGGTTATGAAGACAGACATGGAAGTAATTACAATGAAGTGATAAGTTTTATAATAAATGTAGAAAAAGCCGCCTCTCTGCTTTAGGGGGGTTTAGAAAGCTTCGTAGGTGATAGTCACTCATTAGAAAATGAGTCCATCATGTGTGAAGGGCAGTCTATTCAGAGGAAACCCTGTATGCAAAGGCATGGAAGCAAGAACCCTTTTGGGACTTAAGTAGATGGATGTGGGAAGGGTAATGCTAAAAAGATAGAGTTAAATAATGAAGGGTAGAGAAAGCCATGTCAAAGAATTTGACTTGTTATTGTACAGAATAGTCAATTGACACTTTTTCTTAACATTGTTATGAAGATTTTCAAATGTAGCAAAGATAAAAGCGTTTTAGAGTGAGTATTTATATACTACCTCCACCTACAGTGTGCTATTAACATTTTGGTATTATTTTATCACATATCCATCCCTCTATTAATTTACTAATCCATCTTTTAAAAAATCTATTTTAAAGTAAATTTTAGGTATCAAAGCATTTAATTCTAAACACTAGTTGAGAGTATTGAAGCAAATACATGACATAATATAAATTGTTTGCAGAAGCAGCGTGTTAGCTTTTATATTTTACCAATTGTGTAAAGCAGTGCCCAAGATGAGATTTGGACATTTGATCTTTACCAGGGATCTTTAAACTTTCAGTTCAGTTATTTCCTCAACATTTTAATTTTTTTTACGTAGAGAAGTTGATTTATATAGCAAACATCTATGTACCTACCACTTAGTGCCTACAATTATACAGTTCCATTTTAAATGAGTCTTGTGCATCTTTCAGAGATACCAGCTAATTAAGGGAAAAGATCATCTATTGGGAATCATAAGAATACAAAAACATCAGACCATTTGAATTTGCAAACCAAAGAATATCACGTATGAGGCTCATGCACACATGTATGCAGAACTAATACTTATTAGCATTTGGTATTTGCACAGACTAGTGATGTGTGTCGTATTTGGGAACTTAATGGGTATGTTTGTTCAAATTAAAGTATGGAAAGGCCAGCTGCTTATGTTGTGTGACACAACATTGCCTAAAACTTTGTTGATTTATCTCAGTTTAGGTTTTAAAATTTATGTATTTGTTCATTAATTTATTTTCGTGATGCTAAGAATTAAGCCCAGGGCTTCATTCGTGTTAGGCAAGTACTGTACCACTAAGCCATACCCTCAGCTTCAAGCTTCTAAGATTTATATTTGAATTGTTTGGGTTCTCAAAAATAAAGTTTATTAAAATTAGTTGATGTTGCTAGTGAATCTTCCAAAATACACTTTAGAGCAAACTGTCAAATAAATGCCTAATGTCCACTTTGGTGTCTTTTACCTTCTGTGTTGACTTATCTCTGCATCTACATGCTTATTTTCAACTTCCTAAATGTATTCAGTGTCAAAGTGAGTGCTTCTGAAAGCTAGCCATCATCTCACCTCACAAGCTTTGTCTAGAAAAAACAGAAATAACATACTTATTTTAAGCAAAATAAAACTTAAATCTGGAAATGTAGCATTCCCATTCATTCGCTTCAATTTAATACACTTAATGGTAGCAAGTGTTAAGTATTAGCTGGTATCTTTCTATAACATTCTCTTTCCATAAACATTTTTAGTAATGTAGATAGGCTTAGACTTAACATTTTGTTACTTCTCCTTTTCAGTTATCTATCATCAGTAATACAGATCTATCCCATTTTTAACTGGCTTACTGCTATAACATCCTGCCTGCCCCCTCTCAAACATACCACCCGCAAGTATGTATAGCTGCATCCCAACCTCAGATTTTCCAATAAAAATTCAAAAATATTTTAAAGCTGTTATGTAAACAAATCTCATGAAATGGAGCATTTACTGAAAAATTTTGGTTAACAAACATGGCCTTTGAATTGTTCTGGGGAAAAAAACCTAAGGATTGAAGGAATCGGGTACAAAGTTAACCCCTCTATTTTGTAGCCATATCAGAGCCTTAATTCAGTGAGAAGAGTCTCCTTCCTACAGAGTATATTGATACATTTCTATTCAATACAATGCATAGCCTTTTGAATTAATTGCATACAGTCCCTCTCCTCTCTTAGTCTGAATTTGGGATTTTTGAGTATTAGGATATTTGACATAACTTCTCTAGTCATTCTTAGAAGTTAAGATTAGGCTTTTGATATGTTAATCTTTTTTGTTATGTTCAGTGATTCAGTTTGTAAATTTCCCCATCTTAGTGCAAATTTGTAAATCAGGACTTGTTTGGTATATTCAAGGAATGTGATTGAGACTCATAGTGTAACTTTACTAGTGATTTTAATCTTGGCAATTAAAAATTACAAATTTTTTCTTTATGAAGTATAGCTTGTAATTATTTCCATTTTTAAAATCACTTTAAAAATAATAAATTCTCTTAGATTTTTATTAAGTTCTGATTATCAACTTAATTTCATAATTGTAAGATGTGATAATACCTTAATTTCTCTGTGTTTTTCTTCAGATACTACTCTGCTATTCAAGTAATGGCCATTATGATTCTGTGTACCCAAAGCAATTTCAATCAAGTGCAGCCATTTGTCAGGGTATGTGAAGGCTTTTTATAAATAATTGGATGTGATTTCAGATGATTTGGTACAAATCCTTAGATTGAAGGACCCACCAAAAATAGGACTCTTTTAGAACCTTGTTGGTACCTATAGAATTTGCATGCTGTGTTAAGATTATTTTTACATTATTTTTTTTAAAGTCTTGCTGGCCTGTGCCACCTGTTAACCCATGGAGCACTGAGAGCTCTGGGGCCTGCTTATGCAGGGGCACAAGTTTCCCTGGTGTTTCAGGATGCGGAGTAGCAGGTCCTGTAGTGGTGGGGGAGCTTGGGGCCCCAAGTTCCTACTGTGCCAGGAAGTAGGGCTTACCATGGAGCCTGGAGGAGTTGGAGCTGCATGGAGACTTCAGGGGCAGGGGAATTGAGAGTGTTGAGCTTATTCTTCTGTGATTAGTTGCTTCTCTACTTGTGGACTGAGAAAGGGTTTTGCTTCTTGCTTGTTATGGGACCCTGTGGGTGTCTTTTGGAGTCCCCCATCTTCTTTCTTGCCAGCTACTCGTTTGATATGGACTAATACCCAGAATCTAAAGGGAACTCAAAAAACTCAACCCCCAAAGAATAAACATCTCCATGAAGAATTGGGCACATGAATTAAATAGGGAATTCTCAAAGGAAAAGGTATAAATGGCAAGTAAATACATGAAGAAGTGTTCAACTTCCCTAGTTATAAAAGAGATGCAAATCAAAACAACGCTTAAGATTTCATCTCACCCCAGTTAGAATGGCCATAATCAAAGGTAATAACGATAACAAATGCTGGCAGGGATGCAGCAAAACACCTGTTGGGAATGCAAATTAGTACAACCAGTATGTAGATTCCTCAAAAAGCTAAAGATGGAACTGCCATATGATCCAGTAATACCATTCCTGGGCATCTACCCAAAGGAATACAAGACAGGATACAGTAGAGACAGCTGTACACTGATGTTCATTGCAACACTGTTCACAATAGCCAAGCTTTGGAAACAACCTAGGTGCCCTACAACTGATGAATGGATCAAGAAAATGTGATATATACACACAATGGAGTATTACTCAGCCATAAGGAATTATGACATACGGTTTGAAGGTAAATGGATGCAATTGAAGGACATCATGTTAAGTGAAGTAAGCCAGGCTCAGAAACACAAAGGCCGCATGTTTCCTCTCATACGTGGAAGATAGATTCAAAAGATAAACATAAATACAAAATAAGCATGATCATGTACAAACTCTGATGTAGAACATGTTTGTAACAGTGGAACTACTCCATGGAACTCGGGGAAAGAGGGAAAGGAAAAGAGAATGATAGAGCATCAGTAATACCGCATACCATAAGATATGAGGGTCGGGGATATAAGGATGTGTATTGAAAGCTGTTGAAAAATGGGGGGTGGGCGGTAAAGGGGTAAGGGAGAGTAGTGGAAAGGGTTGAATGGACCAAAATAAGGTATACCCACAGTGGGCATATATTGAGACACCCCTTTGAGCCTCAGTTTAAATATTAATAGTGAAAACCAGGACTATAAAATAGGTACAGTGTATGGGAGGTACTAGTGGTGGTGGGGAGGGTGTATGAAGAAGATTAAAGTGATGGTTTATGGTTGATGGATTTCATATACCTATATGAAACAGAACTAAGAAACCTCTTGCAATTGCTTTAAGTGGGGTGGGGAGAGTGTTGAGGGGGAGAGACACTGGAGTCAATGTAAAGAGTGTACAATACAAGTCGAATTGAAATTTTCACTGACTCCCCCCTGTATAATGAATATATCCTAATAAAAAATTTTAAAAAGTCTTACTTCAGTAACTGGAGTTTTAGCCCTTTTTTCCCTTCAGCTGTATTGTATGAAATTCTCTATAAAGACGTATTTGTTGTGGATGAGGAAGCATTGCACACTGCAGTTGAGCTGTTTCGAAGTGGGTCCAGAAAGAACAAAAACAATGCTGTGACCGGAAGTGAGGATTCCCATATTGATTACAAGAGTTCAACTCAGGATAGGTAATCACGTTTCTGTCTGTCTTCATTTGAGAGTGGAAGTGGCCTAGCAAACTTATGACATAGATTGCATATACACACATACATGTATGTTTGGGAAATATTTTTTTCAGTGAAAGGAAATTCTAGCAAAAAGATACATTGGTGAAATGCTTAGACTTTATGGATTCTGTTCAAGTCACAGTCCATTTTGTATATCTACAAGAGACTTTAGAACTATCTAGTTATATATGAATTATTCAGATTGCTTATTAGAAGGACAGATTCCCAGGCATACTGTCACAAATTTTTTTGAGGTCAGAGTGAGTCCAGGAGTCCCCTCCCTCTCTTCTCTCTCCCTCCTTTCCCTCCTCCCCCTCCCTCCTCCCTCTTCCTCCCCTTCTCCCTCCCTCTCATCCTCCCACTCATCTCTCCCTCCCCCTCTGTCCTCTCATTTTTTGACTTTTTTTTTCATTATTCAGTCTGGTAGGTAGGCTGTAGATCATGCTTTGAGAGAAAACCAGCACCACACAAATCATACAAACTGAGATTGTATGATTACTTGGCATACACATTCAGCAAGTGAGGGCTAAGGGAAGCTAGGAGCATTTGAGTCTCTGCCTTTCTTTAGTATGCACTAGAAGTGTAAATTGTGTGCCTCTGTGAAAGTAGCTATTATTAAATAGATCTAGTTGAAATCTTTGGGTTTTAATTAATAAAGTGAGTGTTATCTTTATTTCTTCCTGATTCTTAGTTTCATCTGGAAATTCAGATAGGTTTGGTGCCAGTCAGGTGTTACCTTGTGTTTTAGTCTTGCAGTTCTATTTTTTAACATTTAATGCATACAATTTTTTCCTTTTGGTAGAAGAGATTTTTTAATGCTTATTTGGGACCACACTGGGTGGCAATGATATATCAGGGTGAAAGTTGCTTCATTCTACACTGAGTACTTGCTTTAAGGTCTTCAGGTTTATGTGTATCAACTGCTGTGTAGCAATATTACCACGAACATGCCAGCTTAAAACAACACAATTTATGTTAAACTTATGTGGTTTAGGAATCTGGAAATGGCCTAGTTTGATATTCTGCTGAGGGTCACATAAGACTGTAATGAAGGTGTTGGCCAGGATTTAGTTCTTACTTGGTGCTTTGGTTCTCAGCAGCATTTAGTTCTTCCAGCTGTAGAGCTGATAGCTTCTGTTTTGTTGACAGTTAGGAAAAAGTAACTACCTTCAGCTCTTTTACACACTAGCATGGTGAACATGGCTGCTTATTTCCTTACTGGTGGTAGGGGACAGAGAGAACAGAAAGATGTGTGCTCCATTCTTTTGTAGTGTACCCACATAAGTGATTAGAAGCAAACTGATTAGAACAAAGTGATTAGAGCAAACTCAAGTAGAGGGAAATCATGCAAGAATGTGAACACTAGGAATCAGGATCATAGAGACCATTTTAAGCATGTGTCCTTACAGGAGATATGCAATATAAGAGATAATATAATAAGTAAGCTTATTATACTACATGCTTAAAAAAGGAGCCATAATGCAGATGTTGGGGTCTAAACTTATTTGCCTCATTTTTTAGAACTGAGCTACATTATCACTAGGTGGTGATATAATTATTAGACATATGAAAAGTATTTGCACTTATATAAAGCTCTTTGCTCTAAATCTTTTCAATTAGGGCTGAAGAGTGTGGTGCCTACTGCAGTGTTGAAGATATACCAGAAGGCTGTAGTCAAGGAACTGAGGAATCAAAGGTTTGATAATTTCTAAGACAAGGAATTTTCATATTCTTGGCTTGTAACATCATAACGTAAAATAGTGAAGAGATGGTCAATTGTAGTTATATGGGGTATGGAGAGGAGTTGGTCGTGTTTTCCTTTGTGGAAGTCCTATCTGTCTGAAAATATAAGATGTATATGTCATTTTCTCTGAATTACTATTCTTATAAAATGTTAGATTTTTCAAAACAAATTCTGAACACTTGAGAAAATTCAGAAGCTTTTATTTTCAAGCTAAAGTAATAAGAACAACCCAATATTTAGTTTCTAAGTAGTCTGCTTAAGGTTGCTTTATTTTCATTAAAATACATAATGCCTATCCTCTTCTGAGAAATTAGGTGCTGATCCTGGTCTCTTAAAGTGGGAAAGTAGAAATGTTACCATCAGTGTAGGCCTAAAATCAAGTAAGCTTTAAGTTTGAGGCTAGCTAAATAGGGCAAATACTATAACAATCTCTGTGCATGCTTCAAGTGGTGGTAATTTTGGGACAATATTTAGTATGGTGAAATGCTAAGAAAGCAGAGGGGAAAAGATTCCTTTGAAAATTGTAACTGAATTTGACCAAAATTAACTTATCAACTATTTCTAGGTGATTTTAGAATGCAGGAACAGTTGTGCATAGCAAGGTAACACTTGTTGAGTATTTTTGAATTATTAATACTGATCTGTGTTGCATTGGTTGATATATGTCCTGAGTTGCTGACTGCTCTAGACAATATTTCTCTTCTGCCACCTGAAAGTTTTTAATTTCTTTGATTTTACTTCTCTAGTCTGATTTTAAAAATAGATGGAAAATTTTATTATGCTATTTCTTAATTTAATAAAGAAGTGAAGGGAGGCATGTGTACATAGTTTTAAGAAAAGAAGGAAGGAAAAAACCTGAATTCCTTCTTCCTCATAGTTCATAGTAAGGTGAGTTTGTAACATGACTATTTGTGTTTTAGTCTCCAGAAAATCTGTCAAAGATGCTCTTCCCATATAAGGTGCTCAAAGCCCTGGATCCAGAAATCTATCGTAACGTAGAATTTGATGTTTGGTTGGACAGCAGAAAAGGTAATGAAATATCCATAGGATCTTTTGAATCCTAAGAGATCCAGAATGATAATTTCATAAATTGTTTCTGAAATGTTTTCAACACATTAATGTAAAAAAAAAAAAAACAGCTTAATACTTCTAATTTTATTCCATATGTGATTTAAACTTGGAGGAAACAAATAGGTTTAGAAGTGGGAAGGGACGATTTACAGCCAGATGCTTATCTGGAACTTCAACTTTGCAATGACTATGTAGAAATAACCTGTAGATTACCTTAAGTGTACCGAATTTACTTACTTATTTAAATTTTATTAGCATATAATAGTTGTACAGGGGGGATTCATTGTTATCTTGTGCTTACAATATATCTTAGATTTACCCCCTCCATTGTTCTCCCTCTTCTCCTTCCTCTTCTTAGAATAATTGCAGCAGGTTTCATTCTTCTGTTTTCATACATGGATACAAAATAACATCCAACATATTCACCCTCATTCCCCCTTTCCTTGTGCCCACCACCTTCCCACTGACACTCACCCCCAGAAAAGACCTATTTTTCCTTCCTCCCTTTATTTTTTAAAGTATATGTTGATCATCCAAGGGGGTTTTGCCTTGGTACTTTTAGGCCTGCATATACCGTGCTTTAATCAAATTAATCCCCTCTCCCCTATTACTTATTCTCTATTGCCATGCTCCCCTAGGCTTCAACAGGTTGCAGTACAGTGTGTTACGTTATATTCATATATTGATGAGTTGTTTCAATATTTTTCATTCTCAATGTTTTTTTTACTTCTTCCACCTCCTGTAGTCCCCTCAGATAGACTCACTATACAATTTTGTTCTTTCTCTCGCCGTGTGTGTGTGTGTACATATATATATACATACATATATATATGATTGTATATGTATCTGTATACACATTAACTTGTAGGGTCTCTAGCTTACACATATGAGGGAAAACACGACCTTTGATTTTTTGAGCCTGGCTTACTTTGCTCAACATGAAGTTCTCAAGTTCCATCCATTTACCTGCAAACAATATAATTTCATTATTCTTTATGGCTAAATAACAATCATGTACATACACCATAACTTCTTAATCCATTCATCAGTTGTGGGACATCTGGGCTGTTTTTAAATCTTGGCTGTCATAAATCGTGTACAACAGCTCTTGAAAAGAATATACCTATTATTTGCTATCACTTAGGAATATGGTATAAGCTCATAGAAAAGATACTACAAGGAGATTCATTTGAGCTTTAGTCTTATTTTTCTTTTAATAGAACTTCAAAAATCGGATTACATGGAATATGCTGGGAGACAGTACTATTTGGGCGACAAGTGTCAGGTTAGTTTCTTCTTTAAAAAAAATCAGTAAGTTGTTTCTCTAAGATTGTGCTTTTAGTCATTAATATGAGTTGATCAAGCCAGGCATGGTGGTTCATGCCTGTAATCCCAGCACTTAGGAGACTAAGGCAGGAAGATCCATGAGTTTGAGGTCAGCCTAGACTACATAGGAAGTTTAAGGACAGCCTGAGCTATTAGTGAGACCCTGTCTCAAAATACCTCAGTGATAGAGCGCATGTTGGGTTTGATCCCCAATATGGCAAAAAGAAAGAGTTGGTCAAAACTTATTTACAAAATGCTAATTTTTTAATACTTGTGTTAAATTTTAATTGCAGTCTTTTGTGATAATTAGATGTAAGGCTCTTCCAGTTCATGCTTCCTCCATTGACTTTGACTGGTTGGTAGTGTCAATGTCAGTTACTTTAAAAATGTAGACATTGAACTCCATTTGGGGGAAAAGTAGCTTTTTTTTTTTTTGACAGAAGCCAGATGCATGAGTTGACAAGACCAGATGTATTACTATGTATACCTGTCTTTCAGGTTCGCTTGGAATTAGGTGGAAAATACTATAATGCTCACATTCAAGAAGTTGGAAATGAGAACAATTCAGTAACAGTTTTCATTGAAGAATTGGCAGAAAAGTAAGAATAATTTGTTAAATTACTAAAATCGTGGGCTCCTGGTATATTTTCATAGTATTAAGAATGCTTATCAGGATGCTAGTAAGAGAACCAGTTATTATATGTGCTACTGGCCTTGTTATTTTGAGTTATAAAAGCATCTGCTGAAGTATGAAATCTTAATATAGGTATAACTTACATATAAAAGTTTCCAAATCCTAGGCACCCCACTTATTAGAATTATATTAAGTACAACATAATTTTGATATAAAACTGTTCATAGTAATTAGAAAGGCAGATTGTTGAGTTTGTACTATAATCAAGATAAACTAGTTCAGTCCTATTCAGATTTTACCTGGAGGGCTTCTACAAACAGATTGAGTCCAATCCTCAGTTTCTGATTTTATTAAGTTTGGGGTAGGAAAAAGGAATTTGAATTTCTAGTAAGTTTCCAGGTGTTTATAATCCTGTTGGCCTACTTTAAGATACATTAAACTCAGCTGTGCTGGCCTAACAACCAAAAAGTCTCATAAGCTCAAAATAATAAAGTTCATTTCTAGCTCATTTAGCATGTCCATAGTGAGTCAGTGAAGGAGGACCCAGGCCAGTAGAGGCTCTATTTTGACATGCTCCCATGATCACAGGCAAGGAAAAAAATGAGAACATAGCAGACCAGTTGCTTGTACTTAAAACATCTCACATTTTACTGGCCAAAATAAGTGTCAGTAGGGTGGAGAAATCTCCTCCTCCTCCAAGGAAGAGCAGCAAGTCTTTATGACCTAATCACATTCTACCACAGTCTTTTTTTCTGGATATATGGTAAGAACTACAGATAGCTCTGAAAATGTATAAACTATTCTTAGGTTTTCTAACAAACCTAAACAGGGAGGCTTAAAGGAAATGTACCCGAATGAAAATGAAGCAGGAGGGATGGGTATGTATACTGAATGAGAGTTAAGTCTGTGTCACGGTGGCTTCATAGTGGTACTTTTAACTTTAAGGCATGTTGTTCCACTGGCTAACTTAAAACCAGTTACCCAAGTGACACCTGTTCCTTCCTGGAATACCGTAACAAATCGGAAAGGAAGAGGCTACCAGAAAATACCTGGAGGCTATGTTCCAGACATGGGTTTGTATGCTAAAGGTTTTTATTTTATTGTTTCCCTTTTTGTAACCCCTTTTATTTATCAACATTGTAGACTTTTAAGGTATATCATATGTCCTGCTATAGGATGGGGTTTCTCATAGTACATGTTACTAGTGTTTTGGGATGGCTAATGCTCTGTTGGTAGTGAGGGGGCTCTCCTGTGCATTGTAGGATGATCGCTGACTTCTACACACTAGATGCCAGTGATAACCCTCTGCCGATGCCAGTAATACCCTCTGCCTAATTGTGACAACCAAATTAGTCTCCAGATATTGTCAAATGTTCCCTGAAGAAAGAAGGGGCAAAATTTTTCATGATTGAAAAACTATTGTTCTTGAAAACATTGTGGGAATTTAAGTTGGTGTAGATTTAGGCTCTAAAACTTGAGGGAAACTGTTTTTCAAAGGACCAAGAAGACACATCATAAAAGCACCCAGAGATCGTAAACATAATTTCCTGGAGAATAGTATTATAGGTGACTGTGTTTTTAGGACCAAAGCTGCCTAAAGAGAGTGCTAAAATACCCAATGACATAGAAATTAGCTGCTGGTTTTGCTCTTTCAACTGGAAGATGTATTATATCCTTGAAAAACTCAAAAATCCCCTCCTTTTGTTTATTTGGTTTTTTCCCCAAGAAAAGCATCTGACAGTTTAAGGCAGTGTGGAGGTGGACTCTGGATCTTTTATTTTGGTTATGAAGCTTATATGCTATTTATTTATTTGCATGAAATCTATGTCAGAGATGAGCATGAAGCAACGGAAGAAAATGTTCAAAAAAGTTCGAGGGAAAGAAGTTTATATGACTATGGCTTACAGCAAGGGAGAAACCTTCCTCCCACCCAGGCTTCAGCATACTATGCGCTATGGGCATGATCCTCCAGTACAGTACTCACAGACAGCTGGCAATGTTATGTCCAATGAACATTTTCACCCTCAACATTCATCTCAGAGACAAGGCCGCGGGTATGGGATGCCAAGGTGAGACAGCTGATTTTCATGATATGTATGTCTCTGTTTAGATCTTAGAAATAATTCCTGGACAGAATTATACTAGAATTAAATAATTTAATACTTTAGACATCTTTTATATCTGTGCCAAAAGAGAGCTTAGAGTTGATGCATACTTTAATTCTTGTCAAATGAATTAATTATCAGATTTGCATTCTCAGCCTATGGAAATATGAAGCAGTTCAGGAGATGCTCAAAGATAAAATGCTACCAAAATGAGTGTCCTTGTGAACCAATTTGGGATATAATACGTGTATACATGGAAATGTCATAATGAAACTCCTGTATAACTATCTTAAACAAAAATGTCTTATTGAAAATGAAGGACAGGAAGGTAAAACAGGTCCTGTCTGGGGTTTGGTACCAGCGGGAGCGGGGAGGATATAAGGAATGTGTATAGGAGGGTGAATATGGTAGAAATATTATGTACTTATGTTGAAATTATTCTGAGAATGGAGGGAGGGAGATAACAGAGAATGATGGAGGGGGTGAATTCAAGATTTATTGTAAACACTTTTGTAAATGTCACAACGTACCCCCAGTACAACAGTAATATGAAAATTAAAAACAAAGTATATTCAAAGCATTAAAGAATGTCTTTGTGATGAAAAGTAGAAAGGGGAAATTCTTCATGATCAAAAAAGATTACTGACACATTAACATGCAAATCTATCTGGAGTTTAATAAGAGCCTAAAACTTTCTGTATGAAAAAATCGACTTCCTGTTTCTACCCTACTCCTGCCCTTCCAGATTTGCTCATCCTGTGGTTTTTCCCATTATAATACATAGAAATTCTAACCTAAATGTTCAGCCTTTATTTTCATATGTTACCAGGACATTAGTCTCTGTATGCTTTAATCCTACATAATTTTTTACTACAACTTTTCAAAATGTCACACTGAATCATAGTCATGGGCTGTATAACACCATTTCAGTCAAAGACAAGACAGCATATACAATGGTGGTCCCTTAAGATTGTATCAGAGCTGAAAAGTTCCTATCATAGCTTCCTAACATCATAGCACAGCACATTATTTGTGGTTGTGGTCATGCTGGTGTATATAAACCTACTGTACTACCAGTAATATAAAAAGTATAGCACATACAATTATATACAGTACAAAATATTTGATAATAAATGACTGTTACTGGGTGAAAAAAGTGTCCATGTGATATATGCTGCCATATCTATTAAGAATAGATAGGCCTAATACCAGTGCAGTTTTTTTCTAGTTGAATGTTTTCAGAAAGGTGTGTTACTTCTATTTAACTACAGAACTGACTCAAGAGTCAAAGTAAAGAGTTCTGTTTTCCTTTCCCTTTATTCTTAGGGATTCATCTCGCTTTATAAACAGGCACAACATACTGGGCCCTAAAGTTGGTTTTTACCCTGGCCCAAGTAAAAGGTGCTGCCAGAGCTATGATAACATCTCCTATAGATCTCGGTAAGTTTTTAAAGTGTTGAAAGTTAGAGAAAACTGGTTATGTCTGGTGTCATTGCTGAGGAATAGTATGGACTAATTTTTCAAAGTGCCAACTTTGAGATATTTGAACTGTTAACTTAGAAATTAGAAACAAGTTACTACCATATTTTAACTTCCCCCTTTTTATTTTCCAAACTACTGAAGTTCCTTTAGACGTAGTCAACGCCAGATGCATTGCATGAATAATGAATGCCAGTATGGCTTTGCCCCAGAAAATGGACAGATGCCCAGTGGCCTGGAAGAAACTATTACTTTTTATGAAGTTGAAGAAGGTGATGAAACTGCTTATCCAACTTTATCTGTAAGTACATCAAAGTTTCACTCAAAAAATGTTTACTTTTTTTAAAGAAAGGCAATGTGTATAATAAATTTTAAGCTTTTTTGTGGTGCTGGGGAAGCAAACTGAGGGCCTTGCATATACTAGGTAGGCCTCAACTAACTGTATCCTCAGCCCTAATTTTTAAGCTTTTTGTATTAGCAGTTGAATAAAGTCCTTCATGGAAAACATGAGCTTTCAAAATCTTAAGGCTCTTAAAGAGGACTGTTTTCCTTGAGACATGGTCTCACTTTGTAGCTCAAGCTATCCTCAAAATCATGATCCTCCTGCCTCAGCCTCCTGAGAGTTGGGATTTCTGGTACACACCACCACACCTGGTGAGAGATTTTTTTAAAACCTGTTCTTAGAGAAGGGAATATAGGTAAACAATGTTGTCTTGTATGTGGGCAAATATTTTCTGTTTTCTTGATGATTACTTCACATATTTTTATTCTAAGAGTCCAATTTAAAATATTTACTTAATACACTTATAAGAGCAGTTCATACTGTTAGGTGTAATTTAATTGATTTTCAAAACATGCTCTAGCCTTTTCTCTGACTATATCGGGAGAATTGCATGTGTATGTGTCTCTATTTGGTACAGAACCATGGAGGTCCCTCTACAACGGTTCCTGCTACTTCGGGATACTGCATTGCAAGACGGGGACATAGCTCAGGCAAACAGACTTTGAATTCAGAGGAGGGCAATGGCCAGAGAGACAGTGGTGAGTCAGTTAGTGTTAAATACTTGTAAAAGATGTTTCTTGTTGCCTTAGTACATCAGAATTATGAAGTAGACTAGAGGTTTGGTTTGCAGGGAGGGTCTCACTATATTCTGGCAGTGTATTTCAAATTAGCTTTAAGTTCTTTTCTCAGCTTTTCTGGGCTTTTTTAGGTGACCTGATATTTCTCAAAAGAACAGATTTCTATTTCAGTACACTACTATGTTGCTAAAACTTATTTTAAGTGCTTGGCATAGAGTGAATTTTGATTTGGTGAGACATCAGTATGAAAAATATTCCTTATTAGTAAGGCACTGTTCATAGTTGTCCTCACCATTTGTATATTTTAGGCTTATCATGTGACTAGTTCTTTATTTCACAGGAATGTTATGAAATAACTTCTTCACCCAAAGAATTTTATTTAATCTATACACATTACTACTTATAAAATCCTATGTTCTATCCATTCTAATAAGTAGTTATATTAATAATTTAATGCATTCATTACTATATTCTTTTAATATGGGATTCCTGTTTTATATTACAAAATCGAGGTACAAAGGTAAATTAAATGGCCAAGGCCATACTTTTGGTAAACAGCAGTGATAAAATTTTTGCCACAATTTTATTGAGATATAATTTACATATTGTGCAATTTACTCAGGCTATACAATTCAGTAGTTTTTGTGTAATTTAACTTGTATAATTATCGCCACAGTTAACATTAGGACAATTTTATCATTCCCAAAAGAAGCCCCAATACACATTAGCACCCATTTCCCATCTATCTCCTGCCCTCCTAACCCCAGCGCTTTGCAGTCTCCAATCTGTTTTTTGTCTATATGGGTCTGCCTGTTCTGAACATTCTATATAAACAGAGACGTAGTAGAGTCCTTTGAGATTGGCAGAGAAATATTTTAATAGGGATTTGTCTCGAAAACTGTACACACACACCCTGTAACAGTTATATTATTCCCCACCATAGAGTGTGTTTATTTTTACCATTTACTGTTAAATGATATGTGTCTACTAAAATAGTTCTTAAGGTGGTATGAGGCATTCTCAATGACTAGACTTTATTAATTCCTTATTTTCTTGTGATATTCTTTTTGCTACTTATATAGAAGAAAATGCAGTAGATATTTCTAGGAATTTAATTGGGACAAAAAAGCTAACACAAGAATGATTTGTGAAAACTCTGTACATTCATGTCCATACATGTGCTTAAGGATGCTTACTGTCTGATCTTTTATTTAGATTATCCTTTTGCCTTTTTTTTTTTTTTTTAGTCTATATGGGTAGGTTCAGATACAGTGCTCACCTGTAGTGGCATATTTGAAAAAACCAAATCTTTATTCTCACCTTAAATCCTGCTCTCTGGAGGGGTTATCTGTTTGTGTGGTTGGTAAGTGATGAGTTTAAGAATCAAATCCAGTTTAGGTCTCTGGATTTTATTTGGTATAAAACTGATTGTAGATTGACTTTCTCTATTTCAATGGTATAATAATCTTAATGAAAGGTACTTCAGTCTGTGGAGCCATCCTTTGAGGAGAAACTGATTTTATATATGTTACATGAAACAGACTGAAAAACAGATGAGGTGTGATATATCCCTTATTGTCTTTCTAAGGAAACCAATGGGTCATACTCAGATTACTTTATAGTCACCATTAGAGTATTTACTATATGTTAAGCACCGTGCTCAGTTCTTTTCTATTAGCCTTCCTCAAACCCTGCATGAATCAAGGTACTGTTATCCTGTTTTATAGTGAAGAAATTGAAGCACAAAGGCTAAGTAAGTAGTCTAAAATAATGTCAGTCAGCATTCAAATCTAGGTGGTCCTAGCTCCAAAGCTCATATGATTAATTGCTACACTGTACTGTCCCCCTGGAAAAGTTGAACACAGCTGGATTTTTTCCACCTCCATCTGAACTCTGAAAGCACATGGAATTTTGAGAGGAACTATTTACTATTTATAGTTTATCTCTGGGTTCAGTATATTAATCTCTTGATTAATATTAAGGTCAAATAACTTTCAAGGATGTACATGTTTTAGTTTTGAGAATATACCCATGAACTTAAGAAAAAAAGTTCTTGCCATTTGGCTCTGCTGAGCTAAAAAGACCTATATGAACACACTTCTATAGTGATTGTCTTTTTTTTTCTAGGAGGATATCATGAAGAATATCTTTATCCTTCAGGTCAGTGAGATCTAGATGTAATCTGACATTTATCATTGTTTATAGAATTTCAAACAATAAAATAATGCTCATTTTCACTTTACTTTGGCTATATCCTCTAGAACCAGACTATGACACTTCAGGGGTATATAGCACAACTGCATCTACGGCAAACTTGGTAGGTACTTAACAGTAACACACTGTTGGCTCCTATTATGTATTAGGTCACTGTTCTAAGAATTATACGCATAAATTTATTTAAGTCAGAACAACCCTAATGAGGCAATTACTATTGTTCCCATTGTGTAGTTGAAATTGAAATGCTGAAATTAAGTAACTCATCCGAGATCATGCCCCTTTCGTAAAATTTATCTATTTATAGATATCCCTAATATCAGTTGGTATGAGAGAATATTCTAACACTGGCAGTAATAATCTTTTAGAGGATTTTTATTAAGATTTTTGGTTCTGTCAGAATGAGCCATAACTCTCACTTAATGTAACAAAATTTATCGGTTATGCCATATGCCCAGTGGAAGCCTATAGGAGAGCTTACTTAGGAACTCAGTCTTCTGGAAGCTCTGTCCATGGTTGCCAAGGTAGAAAATAAAAGGTGGTAAATGGTACACTGACTCTTTAGCTTCCACTGGAGATGACACATATCACTTTCTTTTCCATTTCATTGGCCAGAGCAGGTTCCATCAAAGAACCTAACTTTTCTGTGCTGGGAAGACAAAAACTTAGAAATATTTTGGCAACATTAAAACTTCAACATTCAACTTAATCTCCCCACCACAGGCAAAATGTACTGACTTTTATCCCAAAGGAGGCAACCTAAAAGTCCCATTCAATGTAATCAAAATCAAATCCTAGTATTTATATATAACTTTTAGAACCCTTTACTGGGTCCAGACATGGCTCCTCTTGATCTTGTGGCTTAAAACCAAAAATACAAAGTTTTTTCCACCCCCAAATTTTACAGGGGTGGAGCAGAGGATGAAAAATTGCAGTAAAATTCCTTCTCAGAAGGGAGTAAAATGGAAGAAACACAATTACTGGCTTGTTGGAATTGTGAAATCTTTATAGGCATACATTATAAGGACCACCAAGCTATGCATGGGGGCTGTTCTCTGGTTTATTATTTTCTGGTGGTCTTTGATGAAGGCCCTTCCTTCCTTGGCTATACTTGAAGTTGGTAACTGAGTAGCTTTCTCAGTTTGCTGCTTACAGAAGATTGGAAGCTCAGGGATTGTTTTATTTCTCTTGGGTGGTTTTAGTTCTGGATCATGTTTTCTTTGGCTGTGAAATAAATAAATTAAAATAAATGAACTCAGATCCTTTGTTTGATTCCCTATTAGTTTCTTATACCAGTAGTCATATTGACAGTTCTTTTTCATAGATCCACTACTCATATTTGCTGTAATGTTTTGTTTTCTTATTTTGCGTTCTTTTTGCAAGTACCTTGAACTTACCAGCCTTAATTAGGACACTTTTCCTTGAGATATTTTGTCTAAGTGAGGATTTACCGGGTGTTATATCCTTAGTTGAGACCTCTTATTGCACTCGTATTTTTAGCAATGATTTGATTCATACTGTGAGGCTGTTTTAACTGGTTTTTCTCATTAAAAGCATTTATTTTAAGGTTGAAATGGTTGCCTCTTCAACCCTATCAGTCCCTGTATACAAGGACTTTCTTTTCATCCTTACCTATAAACTACTCTTTCCTACACATGGCTATCTGAAAAGACTTGGCTAAACTGCTGATTCTAGTCAGAACACTCTATTAGCATTAGGTTTTCTAAACCACTTTCCTTAATCATAATCTTCCAGGTTAGGTTTTTTTGTTACAGCAGCATCATATTTTTAGTTACCAGTTTCTTCTTTAGTTAAGCTAGGCTATGTTGCAGTTACAACCTACAAGTTCTCAGTGCCTTAACACAGAAGTTGTTCTGCTAATGTTATATATCCAGGGAAGTTGGTAGTAGGCCTCTCTCTGTTCATTGTAGTCACTCAAGGATCTGGGCTGATGAACACATATTTTCACAATTACATTAGCAATGTGAAAGATGAAGAAATTGAACATGGATTATTAACATTTATATTCATATTTCATTGGCCAAATAACTCAGATGAGCATACCTAACTTCATTTATTATAATTATGAGCATATATTTATTACATTTCTACACATATATCATGCTTTATGTTCACCCTCCCTCCTTCTATTCTCTCTCCTCCAAGTCCCTATATATCCTTCTATCCTCAGATCATCTTTTTTATTTTTTAAGTTTCCATATAAGGGAGAAAGCATGCAATATGTGCCTTTCTGCATTTGGCTTATTTTGTATAACATTATGCTGGAGCCAAGAAGGGCATTCCTACTGTGCCAGGAAAACTGGAACATTTGTGAAAAACTTGAGTACATTCTATTTTCTCCTCTTCTTTCTTCTTTTTCTTTTTTTTTTTTTTTTTTTTTTTTGGCAATACTACAATTTGAATTTAGGGGCTTTGTGCTTATTAGGCAGGCACTCTAAGGTTTGAGCCACACCTCCAACCCTATCAGTTTTTTTTTTTTTTCTTTTTGGCAGTACGAGGTTTGAACTCAAGACCTTGTGCTTGCTAAGCAGGCACTGTACCACTTGAGCCACACCACTATTTCTGTTTTCTAATTAGGATTACTTTTAACTTTGGCAGTTTTATATGTTAAATTTTGTTTGTTCAGGCAATACAACTTAAGAAGGAGATGAAAACTCTTGATAAATTCATTTCTCCTTTTTTCTTGTTCCTTTACTTTGTCTCTTTTAGAGAAAAAGTGTATTTTTCCTACCCCACCATTACTAGTCTCATATCACATGCTTTTTTATACTACCTCCTGATATAGCCATTCAAATAAAAATGTAAATAAAACCTCACTATTTCTTTATTTCTGGCCCTATAATTTATTAGACATTTTATTTCTGTCCCTATAATTTCACTTGTCACATGTTCCTTTTTGATATGCTTCACTCCCACCTCTCAGTCACCAAATCCATAGAAACATAAGTAATTTTTTCATAGTATTCTGAGGTGAGTATGCCAATATCAGACTTGAGTAAAGATTTCCAGTCTTAGAACCTTCTAAGAAACCATAATAATTTATTTCAGAACACTCTAAGAAACCATAAACATTTTTCTGCTTTTTATTTCCATGAGCAATATTAAACGAAATCCATCTCTAGTTTTTGTTTGTTTTTAAGCATTCACAAAGGACTTTCTGAGCCAGAGCAAATTTTTGCTGTTTTAGCAGGAGATTTGGTTATACTTAAACACAAACTTTGGAAATGTGCAGTATTAGGTCCATGTTAAGTGGGGCTCATTTTTTCACAGTGCAATCTCTCTTGTTTTTTCCTGTGATCACTTTCCCTCATTACTTCTGTGTTCCTAGTTGCCATGGCATTGTGTCATGCTTAATTCTGAGCCTTTTGAAATCATTTTTACTTTTTAAAAGACAGGTTAAGGAGTGTGAGGAAAATAGTATTTGGGTTCTATTACCAACCTCTTAACACACTCCTGTCCCAAGCTCCATCTTCAGAGAGAAGGTGTTCATGTATCAAAATTATTGTTAGTCCTACTGTATTTAAATTTTTCAGGCAAGAAAGGTCACTGAGAAAGTGTTTAAATTTTAGTTTGTCTATAGTTGGATGTGATGAGGATCTCTGTAGATAGGTAACAGCAATGACCTAAATCAGGCACTAGAGCGATACCTTTAGGAGGCATTGTACTCAAAATAGTCACTTCAAACTTGAATGATTTCATTATAGATCACTTTCATTTAGTTTTAGATATTGAAACAAAGAAGGTAATTTACTGATGTGTTGTTCAGTTTCTTGATTTCCCTTTATTCAACTATATTTATGTATGTATTAAAGTCTCTTCAGGACCGAAGACCATGTTCTATGTCTCCTCAGGACACAGTTACCTCATACAACTATCCCCACAAGGTAAAGTACCAAGCAATCATAGTGATATGAACAGAGAAAAATGGGTTTTCTCTTTTCTTTGCCTTGATCAGAGTTACAATCAGCTATTTGTGTTCAAGTATTATTGTATCTTCTAGTACCTGGCACAATGATTAATAAATTTATTCAATAAATTGATTAAGCATCTACTGTGTTTCAGACAATGTTACATGTGTTAGCATTGAACTTATAGCTGATCTACTGTGAACCTCTTATATAATGAGTTAATAATAAATTACTTGTCAAGGTGATCTGATTTACTGAAAGTTAAATTTAAAGCTCTTCTTTAGAATGCATAGTTGACAGAAAAATGTAGTTGAAACCATAGAGTGAATAAGATTATTCTGGGAAAAAGAAGACATTGAGAAGAGCATCTAGAACAAAGCCTGTGGATCACCAAATTTTAAAAAAAGGAAAGAGAAGAAACAGTCATAGAAGTAGGAAAAGAAGGAGAGTGTAATATTATGGAAGCTCTGGAAAGAATATTTTAAGGAGTAGTCAAGTGTCATTTGCTACCAAGAGGTCAAGCAACATAAGGATTAACAAGAACATACTGGAATTTGTTGCCATGGAGTCCACTGGTGATTTTGAATGCAGTTTCAGAGGATCAGAATGGGAAGCAGCTACATTACCGTGGGTGGTAAGGAAATGAAGGCTGCCAATGAGGATAGTGTGTTCAAGAAGAACATAATACCATTTATCGATTATCTCCATTCACAGCCAAATACTGTGTGTTGTAGTAAAATAGTCTGTTCTTTTAAGGAGTTGTGGTCTTACGAAGTCATGAAGTTACACAAAGTGCAATACACCTTTATGTGGGAAAATGTATACACATGAAAGATGAACATACATTACAGATTTCTGAAATAATATGCAGTAAACCCAGAGGTTATCTTTTTTGGGAGTTGGCAACAATATTCATGGAGGACACTGGTTTGAAGGAAACTTTGCATGTGTACAATTTGATACTTCATTTAAAAATTATATTAATGTATTACCTTTTCGGAAAAATAAAAGCTCTTAAAGTAATCCAGGATTGCCTAAAAGAAATAACCTTCCTACGTAGGGTATATGTAAAGATTGATTTCTCAGCATTTCAGTTATTAGCACAAATTATAATTTCTTGAAATTTAGGATCAGATAAGAAATTAATACTGTTTCGGAAACCAAACTTAAGAATTCTGAACTTTATTTCTCTTGTAGGTGATGGGAAATTCTACAACAATTGCAGTTTCCAGTGCCAGTCATGTTCCAGCTCCAGTCTTATCTAACTGTTCAGCAGCTAATCAAGCTAGTAGTACCTCATCAGTTTCCTCACAGAATTCTGTACAGCCTCTATTTGTATCTCCACCTATGCAAAGCAAGCCAGGTAATTTATTAGCAGTTGCTTATTTTGGAAGCCTCTCCTAATGATGAACATGAACATGTACATATTCTGGTGATCAGATAGGATTACTTTAATTTCTAGAATTAAGTTTGTTTAACTTACTTAATACTAGGTTGCTCTGTTATTGGGGAATCCATGAGATTTGAGAATTAGGACTTCAATTTTTTCTTATAAACTTGACTCTGATAAAATTTTGTGCCTGTCATTTTGCTACTCACTGAATAGTTAAAGGACTTGCTTCTAAAACTGAATTAAGTTTTATTATATAATAATTGACAGATGTTTCTTTATAGAATAAATTTTCTGAAAAGTTGTACTCCTATATAATGAATCATTGCCCTGATAATGTCATGATAAAGACTATTAGGCTCTAAAATTTAAGAGAGATGAGTTAAAATTCTGGTTTTACAACTTATTAATTGTGTAATTTTAAACAAGATATCATACCTTTCTTGTCTGTGAGCTTGGGAGTACTGATAGTACTAATTCATAAAGTAGTTGTGGAATTTTAATGAGCTAATGTAATTTAAAAGAGTCAGCAGAGTTCTGGAAAAGTGATGGCAACAACAACTTAGCTTTTCAGTGTAAGTCCCAATATAAAAATGGAATTATCAAAATAGAACTCATGGACAGCATTTGCAACAAAGCTAGGTGACATGATAGCTTCCTAAAACCCTTAATTTAAGCAGATAGAGAAAAACAACTATTCAAAAAACCTATATGATATCAAGGTATGTATGGGTGTGAGAAGACAGAAGTAGAGAAAATGTTGCCTTATGGACCAGGGAATAGAAGAACCCAAAAAGAGTTAATAAGAATCCACTGGAAAGTGGGCTGGCCAGTTTGGAAGCTGCATCTAAAACTGGGAAGGGATTTGATCAGTCTAACACTAACTGCATGAGGCACTTGACAGAAGGACTGAAAGGCTTAAAGCAGTTAAGCCACTATGAACTCTCAGAAGTGACCTGCCAGGACTCCCTTTTAGGATAGTGTTTCTTACTAAGGAAAAACTGCTGGAGTGGACTCAAAATTTGTCAGAATGGAGAAATGAGTGGATTGAGACTAAAATTGATGAGATCAGCACCAAGGAATTCTAGATAGCAATCATGTGTTTGAACACTACACAAAATCAGTAAGTGAGAGCTCTGTGAAGTTAGAAAAGCCACATGTACCCCACCTCATTCTAAACTCATGAAAAGTTATTTCATACAAAAGTAAACAGAAGTAAAACATTATGTTCAAATACTGTGTACAGACAGATATCTTAAGGAAAAAAAACCAAAATACCCATACAGATGGTGAAACCATGCAGAAATGTACCCACTGAGCAAAATTAAAGTCATCAAGCTAAAAACTGTATTTCAAAGTAAGGTAAAGACATTAATAAAATAATAAAAAAAATTGAAGAATAACAGAAGTCAGAATTAGAAAAAACATACGAGACAGAATTTAGAAAAGAAGGTCAAGACTTTAAAGAGCCTGGGCAAATATGTACAACAGATAATGCTTTAAGAGGAATAAGGATATAAAGGGGAATCTAAAATTGAAAAACATCAGCTAAAAATTTAAAGTGGCATGTTCAAGTTAGATAAAGGAGATACAATACTGATGATACTCCTTAAAGAAGAATAGAACAAATATGAAGAGGTTTAATTTTAAAAACTTCATTGAAATTTAATGGCTTTAAAATTTTTGAAACATACTGAAATGGCACCTTGCATACCTGAGAATATCCAGCATCAAGGTATTCTAATAAAATTACAGGACTTTAAAGAAAAAGGAAGTCCTTTGAGAATCTAGCTAAAAGAGCCTGTGAAATAAGAGAAAATTTACCTCCACAGCAGTGCTTTTATTCTAGAAAAAATGAAGTTGCATTAACTTGTGAACCAAAGATTTTGTATCCAGCCAAACTGATTTTCAATAAAGGGACAGCATGTAAGAATTTGAGAATATTATTCCCATGAGCCTTCCTGAAGAATTTGCTAGAGCTGTGCTGCAAAGCAAGGTAAACACTATATTTGAGTGCCACTACATTTGTGGCAATGTAAATTTCAATTGCCGTTAAATAAACTTTTAGTCATCAGTCACATTAGCCCCATGCCAAGTGCTCAAAGCCACATGTGGCTAGTAGTTACTGTCTTGAACAACACAGAATATTTGTACTAACACAATACTTGTGTTGAATGAGCTTTGAATTTTAGACTATCAAAAAAAGACATTAGCATAAGAAGTGAGTTAAGTATGAAATGCATAATTACCTGGAAAATTAAGACAAAATAATGGCCAGGAGGTTGAGAATATACTGTATAATACCCTTACGCTTGGACAAAGTAGATATAGCTATTTTTTTAAAAATGGGAAAATTGAGAATACATATGCAAAGCACTTTAATGCTCAATAATTACATCCGGTTCTTTTATCTAGATACTCAGATGATTATTCTGGGACTATACACTAAAACAAATGAGTAATTATGGGAAATTCTTAATTTTATCCTCTGTCCTTGTGGATCAGTACTTTCAGGATGGAACAAAGGTAATACAGACATATGAAAGAGGCTAAATAAAAGCTTTCATTGCCTCGAATTTGAATTGGAAATATCAATATGAACTTCAGGTATTTTATCTTTAAATATAAATGTATATTTTCTACATCTGTTCAGAAGCAATAAGTGTCCCTAGCACCCACTTTTTGAGGTCTTAAAATACCAATTATCATTTTGGAAAAAAATAGCTTTTAGAGAAATGGTGGATTACAGGTGTAAGCAGGCATTGTTCAAAATAAGCCTGGATAGTCTTGTCTTGATAGATAGCAAAGAAGCTATCAAAGAATTCTGGGATCGTGTCAGAAAGAATAGGGAGCTATCTTTTTTTTTTTTTTTTGGCAGTACTAGGGTTTGACCTCATGGGTTTGTAGGCACCCTACCACTTGAGCCACACCCCCAGTCCCTTTCTGCTTTAGTTATTTTTCAATACAAACTGCAGTCCTCCTGTCTATACCTCCTGCACAACTGTGATTATAGGTACATATCACCATGCCCTGTCTATTTGTTGAGATGGAGATCTCACTAACTGTTTTCCTGGCTGACCTCAAGCTACAATCCTCCTGATCTCTACTTTTCAAGTAGCTGCAATTATAGGCATGGGCCACCGGACCCAGCTATCAGGAGCTATCTTGAAAAGGTTTCCACTGACTAAACATGGAACAGATTGAGCCTCAACAATGATAGGGTAGGTCAGAGAATGACAAGTAAGTGAAATTTACAGGTTCATAAGGATATTTTAAAACTTAGTTATCTGAATAGGATGATAGGAAGCCAATTTGTTTTTTGTTAACTAGAAAATAAAGTGAAAGAATTAAGCTTTTATCCTATACCAATAGGTAACCAAACAGTAGATGGGGGAAATGTCTCTTTATAATAGTATTCTTAGTAGTTAGTAAAAAAAAAAAGTGACAGTATATAATCATTTTGAATTCCCTATTGGATGAATGGACGTTAATAGCTTTTAAAATTATGCTATAGTTTGTATCTGGAATGTCCCTCAAATGTTTACACATTGGATGGTGGTGGAAACGTTAAGGTGGTTCATAGAGGGTGGTCTTACGTCATTGGGGAAATGCCCTTAAAGGGAGAGTGGGACCCTGCCCCTTTCTCTTCTCTTTACTTCCAGCTACCATGAGATGAGCAGCTCCCTATGCCACATGCTCTCATAATGATATACTGCCTCCACCACAGGCCCAGAAAGTAATGGGGCCTCCAGATCAGGGACTGAATCTCTAAAAGTGTGAGCTAAAATAAATCATTTCTCTTTATAAGATGATTTTATCATGTATTTGTTATAGGAAGCTGACTAATACAGATTGCAATGACAGTCAGATACTTCTTATAGATGTGCCAAAGGAATCAGTCCTGAGTCTGAACCAGTACCCTAGATCAAGCTGCCTATTTGCAAGAAATACAGAACTTGTTAAACTATACCATGAGAATATAATCAGCCAAATCCATACTGTGGGAAGTTTGGCAGGTCAAAGAGCATAGGTTCTTCAAAAGAAAAACTTAGGAAATGAAAGAGATGGAAGAAGGACCAAAAAGTTAAAAGAGATTCAAAATATATCAAAATTTTAAAGATGGACAAGACTTAAAACTGTCTATGGATGTACATTAGGGTTAGAAAACTAAGGAGAAAACCACAAGGAAGTGATTACTGTTAAAGAGCAGTGGTTTATTACAATGACAGGGAAATAGCTGTGATTGAGAATGGAGCAAATGGAAATTTTTCTGGGGTAGCTGACAAAGTTTTCTTTCTTTTTTTATTTTTATTTTTTGTTGTACTAGAGTTTGAATTCCAGGGCCTTGTGCCTCTCTACCACTTGAGCCATGCCCCAGTCTAAAATATTGTAGCCTTGGGTTAGACAAAGATTTCTTCGGGGTTTTTGTTGTTGTTGCCCTGAGGGGAATTGAATTCAGAACCTTGTGCTTGCTAGGCAGGTGCTCTACAAGTTGAGCCACTTGGCCACCCAAAGTTTGATTTCTTGACCTGGATAGTGTTCATCTTAAAATAATTAATTGAGTCAAACATTAGAATTACTTTGTATCCGTTTTATTGCTTTATCCAGTGCTTGGAACAAGGCATGCAATAAATGTTTACAGTAGAAACTTTTAATTGGAAATGTCATTGTAGACCTTGGTTTTATTATTTTCAACTAATACAGGGAAAAACATCATCTGTCTCTTACAACAGAGTCTGGTCTTAAAAATATAAATAACAGGTGAATTAAGCATTGTAACGTTTTGTTTACATGGAATTATTGAAAGCTTATCCTTTTAATGTCACGTTTCTTTTTTTTTAAAAAAAAATGCTTGTGACCTTCATTTATTTTACTTTTTGTTCTTTGAATCACTTCTGAATCTCACCTGTAATTCTATTTCTCTATATTTGGCTGCCTTTTAGTTGACTGTGTTCATGTCAATCCCCTAGATGAAACAGGACAAGTTTCTCATTTTTTATTCACTTACATCTGTAGCAGGTCCCTCCCTTCCTCCTTTTAGTTACCGCTAACCTGCTTGGTAACTAGATATGATGACTGTCTTCACAACAAGTCTCCTCATAGGCATTAAATCCTGTCAAATTCAAACTCTTAAATTTGGTAAAGATTAGTATAAAAATTTATGATGAACAAAGTATAAATGTTAAATAAAGTCAGGATCTGTGGGACAAACCTAGGGTGACTTGAATAAGGATTCACTCTCAAGGGTCGTGAAAGTGCAGAATTGGATCTGTCTTTATTGGATCTTTTTGCATTAATTTTGGTGGGCCCTTAAATTTTGTACTGGAGTACCTCTTTGAGACTCCTTAGTCTTGCCCACCCACTGCTTTTTTATCTCTGGAGAAGCAGTGTCTTACTATACAGATTCATGTTTTCTTCTAAAATGTCCTGAAATAGACTGCAGCTACATGAACAGGGGGTAATACATTATGTTAATTTTCACTAATATTTTAGAAAATTTTATTTTCATTGTTCCCTGTGAGCCTATGGATCCCTTAAGTCAGAATGAGATGCTCTTGCATCCTTAGAGCTACTGGAAATTATAAAAGCTTTTTCTTAACAGGCTTATTATCGTACAATAAACCTGTCTTATTCACAGAAAAATATTACATACAGTTTTGACCAAGCATGAAAAAAATTGATAAAAAATCAAAAGAAATTTCAAAAACAAAAAATTTGAATTCCTGTATGTACATTACATAGCTGAGTTGATATAGAGAGGTTCTCAATGTGTCCCACATTATCATCAGTTGTGTTTAAATCATTGTGCAATCTGCTGAGTGTTTCCCTGCCCTTAATTTTGTTGAACTATTTCTCCCAAAAGCAAATGGTGCCCCCAAAACAAGGTAAAATTATGATAATCTTCCCAAGCCAAAAAGTATATATAATGTGCTTAAGTGATAATGTTAAAATTTTAAATTTGTTGAAAGGCTGCATATTTTTAGTATTGGGTGGTGGTATGGGAAAAATAAATCAAGCATCTACAATATTTGCAGTAAAGAGCATGAACTAAGATCTAGCTTTTGGTAAGCAGTATTAATGTGTACAACAATAATTTTGTGGCAGGATTGTAGCCTACTCCATGTCGTTCCAAATTATGAATGCTCACACCTACTGTACATACGGTATAGGTAAATTTGAGTAATTTAAAGAGTACTGAATGCTATGCATCTTGACCATTCATGGTTTTTCTCAGTGGTGGTCTCCTTGGGACCATATACCTACAGATACCAAGCATCATCTTTATCATACATTTATAAGGATTGTGAGCTTAGTTATGAATAACCTTCATACTTCTTCTACACTGATTCTCTCAGGCCTATGATTATTTAGCTATCTCTATGTCTACTACCTAGTGATCATAATCACATCCTGTGTCTTCAACTCCATTCACTTTTATAAAAATGTGATTTGTTTTGGAGTTCTAGTTTTAAAGAAATAAGAGCAGTGCTTTGTTAGAAAAGCTAGTTTATAAAACAGTCTATAAATATAGTGTATTGGAGGATGTTCTGAAAATTGAGTTCTTCTAAAGCTGTAAAAATAGACATTTCTTTTGCATTTTGAAAGTATTGGAGTTTGAACTCAGGGCCTCACTTGCTAGACAGGTGTTGTACCCACTTCACCCATGCCCCCAGCCCCCTGCCTTTTCCCTTTATTTTTTAAGTAAGGTCTTACATTTTTGTCTGGGGCTGACCTTAGATCACATTCCTCCTACCTACAGCCTCCCACGTACCTGAGACCCAAAGTGAATAGCACCATACCTGACTTATTTGCTGAGACAGGGTCTCACTAACTTTTTTTGCTAGGACTGGCCTCAAACCATGATCTTCCTAACCTCTACCGCCCAAGTAATAGGATTACAAGCATGAACCACTGCTTCTTAAAATAGGGATTTCTGAATGTGTGTCAAAATTCCAAAACGCTCAAGTAAAAATTTAAAATTTGCTGTTTAATTTACATCCAGTAAGACTCAGTTTTGGGGCCCAGTTCTGAGAGTCTTGAAAATGCATTAAGTTGCGTAACTACCACACAATCAAGAGAATTGTTTTATCGTATCCCAAAAGTCATTCATCACATTTTGGAACATCATGTTAAGTGAAGTAAGCCAGGCTCAAAGTCAAAGGTTGCATCTTTTCTCTCATATGTGGAAGCTAGACCTATAAGGTAAGTGTACATGTAAACACATATATGACCACATATGTGTGTGTGTATATATATATATACACACACACACACACACACACAAAACACAAAACCCCACAAACCCATATATATATGGGTTTGACTGAGGGAACTACAGGAGATGGGAGAGGGAAAGAAAATGTTAAGAGAATTAAAAATACTGAAGCATTTCATCTATATATGAATAAAATATAACAATGCATTGTAAGCTGTTGAATAATAGGGGAGCACGGTGATAAAGAGTAAGCAATGGAAGGGGTAATCTGATTAAAGCAGAATATATACATGCCTGAAATTCCGAGGCAAAACCCCCATGGACTATCAGTATACACTTAAAAAAGTGAAGGACAGGAGGGTGAAACAAGTCTTTATCAGGGGTGGGTACTAGTGGGAGGTGGGGAGGGCATAAGAAAAGGGTGAATGAGGGTTTATTTTGTACTTGTAAGTGAAAATAGAAGAATGAAACCTGTTGAAATTGATCTAAGAAGAGGGGAGGGAGAATGATTGAGGGCATAAATCTAAGATATATTGTAAGCACATATGTAAATATCACAGTGTATCTCCCTGTACAACTATTATACAGCTTAAAAAACTAGGAGGAAAAAACAAAAATGGGATCACTATAACAGAGATCTCCTATTAACCTGTAACCATATAAAAGGTATAAATGAATATATTGTTAGTATTTGTCAGTAAATGTGAACAGTATGAATTACCTCTTGCTAAATTACCACAATACAAATCTAGCTTATGTGGACTGTTCCTGTACTAAATTCAGAAGCCAGACATGGTGGCTCATACCTATAATTACAGCACTGAGTCAAGAGGATAGAGAGTTCAAGGCCAGCCATAGCAAGTAACATCTCAAACAAAACCAAAACACAAAAACCTATATTAAACTCAGTTGTGTTCAATCTCTGAATTTAGTCCTTTATCAAATGATGAGATGAAACTTTCTGTGCTTCCTGTAGTTTAAATAATAGCACAATTGACATGGTGTTGAAATTTGATACTTTATAAATTGGCTAAAATGATTCAGTTAAACTTGAAGGTTATATCATTTGTCAGATATTGAACTGGTTTAACTGGCATATTACATGTGTGTTTACACTTTTGCTAGGTTGGAGCCACATCGTTTCATTTATCATGGTAGAGGATTAATGTTTATACAATTATATTTCAATTTCATGTCAAAACCTAAAACTCCCAAATGAGTACTGTTCTAAAACTATAATAACAGGTATAGAGAGTTAAAAAGATAAACTGTTGTAGCTAGCCTCTTGTGTTTTAGATTGTTTGAAAGCAGGTTGATAGAGTAAGTAATAGGGCTAATCTGATTAAAGTGCATTATATACTTGTGCGAAATACCAAGGCAAAACCCCCTTGAACAATCAATATACACTAAAAAATGAAGGACAGGAAGATAAGTCTTTTCCGGGGAGTGGGTACCAGTGGGGGGTGGTAAACAGGGTGAAGAAGGGTGTCATTGTACTTTGTATATGTGTATGAAAATAAAACAATGAAACCTGATGAAATTGTTCTAAGAGGAAGAGGGAGGATGAGGAAGACTGGATGGGTGAATTTAATTAAGATACATTATAAGCACATATGTAAATGTCACAGTGAAATCCCTCCCTGTACAACTAATATATCCTCATAAAAGGGAGCTGTTGTTTAGAGTTCCCTGTATTTCTCAGATGCTACCAGAAGATCTTCAGCAGTTGCTGAAATCTGTAATCAGTCCAGTTTAGTCTCTGTTTCCTTCTGTATCTTATAATTTGATAATATAGATTCCTGAAAACATCTTGAAATTCATACTGGGCATTAAGCTAAGTATCCTGTTTTTAAGTTAGAGTTAAGAGTTCTTTGATCATACTGGGCACACACAAGCAGTAAGATGAGCTACTGCTTATTAAGTGTTACAGTTGTGCATTGTTACTTTATGTTTTTGTTTGTTAGTGATGGCTTCACCATCCTATCCATACCACTCTGCTCCTATTCCTGCTGCTGTAGCATCTCTGCCGCCACCACCACCACCACCTCCTCTTCCTCCTCCACCACATCATGAGGTAGGAGAGGCTTCAAACCTACCACCACCACCTCCACCTTATTCCTGTGACCCAAGTGGCAGCGATTTGCCTCAAGGTAAGTATATTTTGAGACTTGTTGCCCCTCAGTTGGGCAGTATTGTACAAAAGAGAATCATAATTAAGAGTTGTTTGTGGTATGCTTAGTTTCTGGCTATAACATTCTCTTGTTTTTTGAAGCTATTGCTTTATTTTTAGTTTTTTCCAGATCCTAAGGTGGTCACCAAGATTTTTTCCAACTCCATTCTGTTGTTTTTCCCTACCATAAAACTTCATTATTATGTATATGTAGTTGATTCCTAAACTTAACTAGTCTTGATCTTGGAAGTTACTTGTCTCTAGGTACTTGCTATACATTTTCACTTAGCTTTTAAACTCTTATTTCAAGCTTAAAATGTCTGTAATGAAATTCCTTATCTTTGTCTTCCGTCTTTTCTCCAGGCCACACACAAAACATTGAATCTTCTTGGTTTTATATTTTGTTAATATTTTGTTATTTTTCCACCTAATTTACTCAATATCTAAACCCCGATCTCTTTACTTTCTCCCCTCCATTACCTACTTTTGCTGAAGGTATACTCACTCATCACATCATGCTGATTCTGCATTTTCCAGCATTTTATTAGGAAAATAGACATACATCAATGTTGAATTTTACAATGAATAGTCAAATGTCAACCACTGAGATGATAGCATTAAAGTTTAGCTATACTTTATCACATGTTTATTCATCTTCCCCTCCAGCCATGTCTGTGTCCAATAATCCCTGGTTTTGGTGTATTCAAAAATAAACTGTAAACATGAATAGCATTCCCCAGAATGGACAAAGAAAATGTGTATGTGTAAACAATGGAATGTTATTTATCCATAAAAAATGAATTCCTGTCATCTTGTGGCAACATGGATGAGCCTGGAGAACATTATGTTAAATGAAATAAACTAGACACGTAAAGACAAATGCCACACAATCTTATTCATTTGTGGAATCTAAACAAGGTGATCTTATAGAAAGGTAGTTACTAAAGGCTGGGAAGGATTGGTCAATAGGTACAAAATTACAGATATGAGGCATGTTCTGTTTTATTTGCACTGTAGGGTGACTATTGCTAACTATTTTGTATATTTTTAAATAAGTAAAAGATAGTATTTTGAATGTTTGCACCACAAAGCAGTGATCAATGTTTGTGGTGATAAATATGCTTAAAAGCCTGATTTCATCATTATACAGTATATATCATGCTGTAATCCATAATATCTGCAATTATTATGTGTCAAGTAAAAAAATAAAACGTAAAATCTTCTGCATACCTGTTGTGAACCACGGTTCAGTAATTTAGTTTCTTCTTTTCATGTAGAGTATACATACAAAGAAATGCACGAAATTTCAATGAACACTGAGTTTTAACACAAATCCCTATCAAGGTATAAAACATTACCATTATCTCACAAAGTTTTCTTATGCCCCTTCCCAGTCTTTTTATGGGTTCATACCCATTTCTCACACAGATAGCCACTGTTCTGCTGTTTTTCTATCTTAGATTAATTTTACTTGTTTGAGAATTCCATATAAATGGAATCAGTATAGTGTGTACTCTTCATAGAAACTGGGCACAAACGTGTTTGAGATTCATCCATGTTGTTACATTATATTAGTGGTACATTTGCTTATGTTGCTGATTACTGTTTCATTGTATGAGTATTCCACAGTTTGTCCATTCTCCTTATGATAGACTTCTATTTCCAGTTTGGGGCTATCATAAATAAAGGTGCTATGAAAATTCTTGCAAACGTGTTTGTGAATATATATATATATATATATATATATATATATATATATATATATATATATATTTTTTTTTTTTTTTTTTACCTTGAGCAAAAACCTAGCAGTAGGATTGCTGAGTCAGAGAGAGGTGTATGTTTAACTTTTATATGAAACTGCCAAACATTTTTTCCAAAGTTGTAACATTTTGCATTACCACAAGCATGGTATGAACATTTCAGTTGTTTCATCCTCACCAACACTTAGTGTTGTCGTTGTCTTTGATTTTAGCCATTTTGATGACCAGTGATTGGGCACTTCAAAATGATTTTGTGGATTGGTTTTCTGTTCATAGTAGAATTGAGAAAGTTAAGATTTTTCCATAAGCTACCTACCCTTACATATGCATAGCCTCTCATTATCAATATCCCTCATCAGAGTGATACTTTTGTTATAATTGATGAACCTACAGTGCTCATTATTGACCAAGGACCATAGTTAATTGATATTGTACATTTCATGGGTTTGGACAAATATAAAATGATATGTGTCCTCCAGTGTAGTAGTATACAAATATTTTCACACCCCTAAAAGTCCCCTGTACTCCATGCATTCACACCACCTTCCTCCAGCCTCTGGAAATTAAAGATCTTTTCACTAGCTCCGTAAGTTTTGATTTTTTTTTCTCAAATGCCAGATAGTTGTGATCATATAGAATATAGCCCTTTCACATTGGCTTCTCTCACTTAGTGATATAATTTAGGATACCTCCATGACTTTTATGGTTTGTTAACTCATTTCTTTAGAACCTTAGATGGTAATTGTCTGGATCTACCCCAGGTTATATATCCATTCATATTCTGAAGGACAACGTAATTGCTTCCAGCTTTGGGCAAGTATGAGTAAAACTGCTCTAAGCATCCAAGTACAAGTTTTTGTATGGAAATATATTTTCAACTCATTTGGGTAATTATCAAGGATGATGATTTCTGGGTCTAAGAGTAAGAATATGTTCCCTTATGACATATGATGAGCATCTTTTTATACACATTTATCATGTGTATGTCTTCTTTGATAAGGTATCTGTTAAGGTCTTTGGCTCATATTTAAATTTGGTTGTTTTCTTATTGTGAGTTTTAAGAGTTTTGTGCATTTTGGATAACAAAGGTTATCAGATAATCTCTTCTGCACATACTTTCTCCCAGTCTGTGGTTTTGTCTTTTCTTTCATTTTGATGGTTTCTTTTGCAAAAGAATATCTTAATATTTTTTATTGTTGTGCTGGGTGGGGTATATTGTAGCATCTACAGACGTTCTTACAATATGTCAAATATATCATACTTGAATTTACCCCTTCCACCTCTTTCCTTTATCCCTCCCTCTCTCATTCCTGTAATAGCTTCAACAGGCATCATTTTTGCATTTACATACATGTGTACACAGTATTTGCACCATAGTCACCCTCTTAAACCCTTTCCCTGCCACCAACCCCCTACCCCCACGCAGGACATGTTCTGCCCTTCTATTTTCCAATTTTGTAGAATTAAAAAAGAGAAAAATGGTATTTTTGCTTGTTACAGATAGCTAAACAGGGAGTGTCCTTGTGATGTTTCCATGTATATATGTATTATAACCCCAACCCCAGCTGGTTCATCTCCTCTGTTTTTCTTCATTCTATCTTAGTCCCTTTCCTATACTGTTTTCAGCCAGTTTAAAAATTCTATATTCATTGTTGTTGTATGGAGAGTACATCAACCATATTCACCCTACCCAAATCATATGTGACCTTCCTTTATTTTTTTAAATCTTATTTTATCGTTTTTTTTACATTTACTTACATATGTATACATTATTTGGGCCACTCCCCACCCCACCTCTGGGCAGAACCTGTTCTCCCCTCTTGTTCTCTGATTTTATAGGAAAAAAAAACCATAAAACATAATAAGAAAAACACAGTGTTTTGTTAGTTTGTGATAAAGATAGCTATATAGGGAGATTCCTTGTGTTGTTTCCATGTGTATATATATATATTACAACCCAAATTGATTCATCTCTATCAAACCTCTTCACTGCTCCCTAGTTCCCTAACCATAGTAGCCTCAGCCAGTCTAAGATTACTATATGTCTTCATATATAGTGAGCGCATCAAACACATTCAAGTTTCTTGTTTCCTTCCCTTGCCTTACCCCTCCCGTGCGTGGTCTCCCCTTAGTGTGTGACCCCTGTCTAGTAATATCACTGCATTTGTTTTAGGTCTGTAGTCCACATATGAGGGAGAACATGCGATTTTTGGCCTTCTCAGCCTGCCTAACTTCGCTTAAGATGATTTCCAGTTCCATTTACCTGCAACTAACAAAATTTCATTCTTCTTTGTGGCATAAATACCACATTTTCTTAATCCACTTGTCAGTAGTAGGGCACCTTGACTGTTTCCATAGTTTGACTTTTGTGAATAGTGCTGCAATAAACATGGGTGTGCAGTTGCCTTTGTAGTAACCTGAGTCACATTCCTTTGAGAATATTCCTAGGAGTGGGATTGCTGGATCATATGGCAGATTTATTTTTAGTTTTTTAAGAAGCCCCCATATCGTTTTCCAGAGTGGTTGCACTAGCTTGCATTCCCACCAGCAGTGTGTGAGGGTTCTGTTCCCCCCTACATCCTCACCAACATTTGTTAGTGGTAGTGGTGTTGATGGTAACTATTCTAACAGGAGTGAGGTGGAATCCTAGTGTGGTTTTGATTTGCATTTCCTTAATGATGGTGAGCTTTTTTTATCTGTGTTTTGGCCATTTGGACTTCTTTGAAAAAGTTCTGTTTAGTTCATTTGCCTACTTCTTTATTGGTTCATTTTCTGGTTATGAATCCCTTGTCTGATGCATAGCTAGCAAATATTTTCTCCCACTCTGTGGGTGGTCTCTTCAATTTAGAGACCATTTCTTTTGTTGTGTAGAAGCTTTTTAATTTCATGTAGTCCCATTTGTCCATCCTTTCTCTTAGTTGCTGAGCTGCTTTGAGTTCTGAGGACGTCCTTGCCTATCCCTATTGCTTCCAGTGTATTCCCTGCTCTTTGCTGTACTAACTTCAAGGTTTCGAGTCTGATAGATTGAGGTCCTTAATCAACTTTGAGTTGATACTAGTACAAGGTGACAGGTATGGATCTAGTATCAGTTTTCTGCAGGCAGATAACCACTTTCCCCAGCAATATTTGTTGAACAGGCTGTCTTTTCTCCATTGCCTGTTTTTGGCTCCTTTGTCAAAAATTAGGTGGGAATAGCTGTGTGGATTCATATCCAGGTCCTCTATTCTGTTCCACTGGTCTTCATGTCTGTTTTTGTGCCAGTACTGTGCTGTTTTTATTGCTATTGCTTTGTAATACGGTTTAAAGTTGGGTATTGTGATATCTTGAGCATTGCTCTTTTTACTCAGTATTGCCTTGGTTATTTGAGGTTTTTTTGTGTTTCCAAATGAACTTCATGGTAGATTGTTCAATCTGTGATGAACATCATTAGGATTTAATTGTGTTGAAAATGTTGGTTGCTTTTGGTAGTATAGCCATTTTTACTGTATTGACTCTGCCAATCCATGTGCATGGGAGATCTTTCCACCTTCTGTATTCTTCCTCAATCTCTTTCTTCAATAGCTTGTAGTTCTTGTAAAAGTTATTTACATCCTTAGTAAGTTTATTCCTAATGACTTCCCTTTAGTGTGACCTGTTTTTCACAATATTGCTGTATTTGTGTTAGGTCTGTAGTCCACATATGAGAGACAACATCAGCATTTGGCCTTCTGAACCTGGCTAACTTCAGTTACGATAATATTCTCCAGTTCCATCCATTTACCTGCAAAATGATAAAATTTCATTCTTCTTTGTGGCTGAATAAAATTCCATTGTACATAAACACCACATTTTCTTAATACATTTGTCAATAGTGGGGCATCTTGGCTCTTTCCATAGCTTGGCTATTGTGAATACTGCTTCAATAAAAGAAACATTTTTAATGAAGTCCATTTTTGTCAGTTATTTCTTTCATAGGTTGTGTCAGTGGTGTTGTAGCTAAAAAGTTATCACTAAACCAAGGCTGTTTAGACTTTCTTCTATTTAAGGTGTTTTATAGTGCTATGTTTTTTATATTTACCTTCTTTCTGCTCTTCTCATATTTCTTAACTTGAGCATTAGGCTTTATACTCTGTTTCCTCATAATAGTCAAATAAAAGCTTATGCTTTGAAATGGTAAATATATTTGCATAGGGAGACTACAGCTTAAGAAATGTGTTTCTGAGAATTTATCTGTTCATGTAACTGAGGTTATATTATCTTATAAATAAGAATATTAAGTGGATTCCAGGCCAATCAGTGAAAATAAATTTGGTGATACAATTAGAATGCTCAGAGCAGGGCTGAAGCTGTAGCTCAGTGGTACAGCTCATATTAGCATGTTGAAGGCCCTAGGATCAATCTCCAGCAACACAAAAAAAGTAAGAATGTTAAGATTGCTCCCTCTTTCCCAATGTATGTGGTTTTTGTTCATTTATGAAATATTATATTAAATTTCTATAATGTCTGGAGAGATTTTACCACCTTAGGGTATAACTAATGAGAACTTCTCTTTGAAGTTCTAGTGGTAGTACATTAGTCATGATAAATAAAAACAGGATGAATTGTTTAATGTGCTGGTTGTTTGAGCATGCATCACTGATCTCAGTACTAGTGAGCATTATTTTGTGCTGTACAGTAGTGCTAGTAACTAAGGGAAAAAGTGGTTACTTATATTTTTTTTCTATACTGAGATTTGAACTCAGGGCCTCACACTTGCTAGTCAGTTGCTCTACCACTTGAGCCACCACCAGCCCCAAAAATGTTACTTACATAGTAGAGTTGTAGTAAAATTTTATTTTGGAGATAAGGAAGAAAATGACTAAGTTATTCATAGAATGTCATCCCTGTAGCATCTGCTTAATACTAAGAATAGAAATAAAAATTTGTATTTTGTGATTTAACCTTAGATAAAGAAGTGTTCATTTTCTATAAACTACAATTGAGAGTGGTCTTAATATGGGAAAACTACATTAATATCTAATGCTTAGAAAAGGTTTTAAATGGTAGCTCTAATTGCTTATGTCAGTATATCACTAAATATTTTTTACTTTTAGATACAAAAGTTTTGCAGTACTATTTCAATCTGGGATTGCAGGTAAGACTCATACTAAAATTGCTTTGATAAACTACATTCAAAACATCTGTTTTTGAAAAATCAGACCCTTGACCTTTAAAAACCAAGTATACTGTGAGGGCCTAAAAATTGTATTTGTCTTTCTAAGAGGTCTCTAAAGTTGATATAGGTCAGTTTTTTATTAGCCTCCCAGGGGTTCAGTTTCTCTTATTATAAAACAGTTATTAAATTGAGAAGAGTGGGAATTGGATTCTAAGCACATTAGCATATATTAGATTAGCCTTCATATTTTCAAACATTATATACCAGCCCTTCCCTGTGTGACTATTTTGTGATTATTTCTTCATTTTAAATGAAAAGTAATCACACTAAGTCAAAGATATTTAAGTATCTGTATTTTAAAAACATTCATATGTTCAACTCTCCTGAGTTGTAGAGGTCTGGATACTAACAAATATCTTGATATCACTGAAAGATATTTCTGGCTTGACATGAGAGTTCTATTATTCTTACAGGGATCATCTTTCCTGAAACACATTTGACTTCTGATATAACAAAATGGCATACTTACTGAAAAAGCAATGATGCATTTTAGGATTTGACAGTTAATAATAATCTGTGTAATCTCCTGGATAATTTTCAGATAGTTCATATTCCCTTACAGTTTCCCTAAAACCTTAAACTTGTCTTCCCCAAATAGTACACCTCTATAAATTAAGAATATTGGGGTATGTTTTTGTTGTCTGAGACTGTTTTTTCCTAAGTTAGTTTTAAGAATTGATAAATTACTTGCCCCCTCAATTACATTAGTTTTTTTTTAGTTACATGTGGAAATTTTGTTTTACAGTCCACTAGACTAAAGCATTTAAAAATACTCTTCTAGCCAGTAGAGCATGCCTATATTCCTAGCTATTCAGGAAGCTGAGGAGGGAGGATCACTTGAGCCCAGCAGTTCAAAAGTAGTTTGGGCAATACAGTGAGATCTCATCTCAAGAAAAATGTCCTCCATTTTTTTACATCATAGGAACATCAGGAAATGGGTAATAGATATTTTAATAATTTTTCATATTAAAAGTGTCCATTTTAATATATTTGGGAAATGGTAAGGTATAAAGAAAACCAAAATTTCCTGTATAACTAACTGTACATTTTTTGATACATTTCCTTGGAGTTTTCTAATTTTTACTTGTTACAAAATATTGATTATGCGATATAATTTTCTAATCATTTAACTTAATAGCAGTATCTTTTTCTTTAAATCTGAACAGCATGATTTTTTTGCCTGTGTTGTAGTCCATCATGGATAAATAAAAATTTATTCACCCAGTTCCCTATCGTTGAATACTGAGTTGTTCAGTGTTTTCTGCTTTTTAAAATGATGCTAGAAATGGCATTTTGTACAGGTATTTGTGTGTATCTTTGATTTCCTTAGCATGCTTTTCTAAACAAATGGTCTAGGTTTGAATATGAGAGACCTATGCTACGAAATATCTTAAACTTTTAATAGAGACTAAACTTTCTAAATGTCAAATCTTATAATACCTGGAAATTAAAGCTCATTTTTTAAAGTGAGGAATTATGCTACTTTAAAAATACTGAGGCGAGGCACAGTGACTCAAGCCTGTTATTCCAGAGGCAGAGATCTGGAAGATAGTAGTTCAAGGTGAGCCCAGGCAAAAAGTTTGAGACCCCATCTCAGCCAATGGCTGGGCATGGTAGTATGCACCCATCATCTCACCTACATGAAGAAGCCCAAATACGAGGATTTCAGTCCAGGCTGGCCCAGACGTAAAGGGAGGCCCTAATCTCAGAGAAATAGCTAAAGCAAAAAAGGGTGGCATCATGGCTCAAGTGTGTGCCTAGTAATGCTAGTGTGAGGCCCTGACTTCAAGCCCCAGTATTGCCAAAAACCACAAAAGAACAGGGAATAATCAGTTTTTCTGGTAGTTTTTTTTTGCTATTATTGCCCTTTCTTGTTCTAGTGCTATCACCACAACTACTGGCACTCTATGGTCTATGTGCCACATATGCAGCAGCAGCAGCAGCAGCAGCAGCAGCAACTTCATGTAGAGAATTATCCAGTCTATACTGAGTCACCTCTGGTAGACCAAACTGTTCCTCACTTGTACAGTGACGGAGGGAGAGCAGATGGCACACAGGCAGAAGCACCAACAAATGGTGAGTATGTAATGAGATTCCCAGCAAGAAAGACAATTGGATTTTATTGTGTATAATTTAATTATAGCCTTCAGATGTTTTGTTATATCTATGTACTTAGACTATCAGTTTTGAAAGCATAATATGTGGACCCCAAGTGAAAGTTTTTGTGTGGAAATATATTTTCAACTTTCTTGGGTAAATAAATATCAAGGATGATGATTGTTGGGTCTAAAAGTAGGAATATGGGTAGCTTTGTAAGAAACTGCCAAACTGTCCTTCAAAGTGGCTATAATGCTGTTTTCATTCCAAACAGCAGTGAATGAGAGCTCCTGTTGCTCCATGTCCTTGCCAGCATTTAACAGTGTTCTGGATTTTGGCCATTCTAATAGGTGTGGAATGATATCTCATTGTTTTAATTTTCATTTCCCTTATGACATATGATGAGCATCTTTTTATACACATATTTATCATGTGTATGTCTTCTTTGGTAAGATATATGTTAATATCTAAAGTGCTTCTGTTGTAGTTGCTGTTGTCTTTATTATAGTTAATGATATATTTACTACCTGCAAGAATATCCATTTATGTTATAGTGCATTTTTTGTAACAAAGTTTACTATATCTGTTCTTTGTTTCAGATACTTTTCCAAATGCTGACCCTGCATCTGTCCCTCATGGAGCAGTTTATTTTCCAATAATGTCAGATCTCTATGGGCAGCCACCTTTTCCAGGTTTTGATTCTTGCCTTCCTGTCATGCCAGATTATCCTTATGTTGCCACCTGGCATCCAGTTGGTGGAACATATGGTGGTTCTTCTCAAATTCATGGTGCTACAAATCCTGGCCCACTTGGCTATATGGGTTCACCTCACTCAGCTTCTCATTACTTACCTCAGAATATGTAAGATTCAGCATTATGATGTATTCTTACACTGCCATTTTATTACTATTTTGGTTTTTTAAAAGTGTTTTATGTTACTGTTTAAGTGGTTTAGATGGTCAGAATGGTTACTGTTGCATCTGTCTTTAAGTTTATTTTTGATTTAAAATATTCCTTTAAAATAAAGGAATATTACTTTGAATTGTGAATAAGGAAATTGAGATGGATGTACAACTAGCCACATAGTGTATTCAGCTATTTTCCTGTCAGCTTGTCAACATTGTATTGGGTGATGATGCCAATTGACAAAAGAAATAAATCATATGAACTGTTTCCTTGGTTCAGAAATCATACTTTATATTAAACTGCTCAAAATTGAAATAATATCCACTTTTCTAGAAAGTAAAACAAAACCGTGAGCCTTTGCTTCTAGGTACTCACTTAATATTAAATGAGAGTTCTTCAGGTTTCTTAAGAATTGTCTGAACTGAGTTGTGTTCTGTGATATTAATCAGTTTTGAAGGCACATGGTGCTCTACTTTAGATTTACCTCATATGCTGTTGTTTAATACTGGATTTATGTAACTGTTTTACTACACAGTATTGAATTGGTGTCCTTTGCACAGTTATCAGTAAATAAAAACTAGCATTTAAAATTGCCAAAAATGAGTAGGACTTTCTTTTCTTCATTTTCATGGCAGCAAAGAGTATACCAGACATTTAATTTTTTCAACATGTTTTCCCTGGCATTTTGGTTGCAAAAGAATATAAACTTAAACTGGTGGGGAGTGTTTGCAGGGCTACTTGAAATGTTTTTGAATCTTGGGTTATTGTAATGCGTACTATCATGTCTGGTTATTTTCTCCTGAGAATGTGCCTTTCTTAGGTTGTGTTTCTGTTGTGCTTAAAAAATCTGTAACTCCCTTATGGAACTTTCATGTATACCTGATTTTTCATTGTCCTATATGTCTATAGTTGTCAGATCTTGCAATTTTTGTTTTTAGACTTGCCTTTGACTTTCTGTGAGACATTATTTCAGCAGCCCTTTCTGCCTTCTGACTTTCATCTCTCCAAAGACCACAAGATCAGTTCTCTTCTGAGGACTGATTATTCACTGAACACACAAGTATGAAACATGTTCTTAAACCACACCTGTTTAAGAATAATATCTTCTACCCTTTCACTCTTGCAGCTACACTCTAGGCAAAAAGTACCACTTGAGAAACTGGGGCTTGAGGTGCTTGAACAGTACTGAGTGGAAACCATTGCAAAGGAGATAATTTGTCTTCAATCTCTTATTATCATGATTGATATTAATGAGTCCCAAATAAACCAGTAAACTAGTTAAAGGGTTCTGCTTCATAATTGACACAATACTAATTGGGCTTTTTTGTTTTTGTATCTGTGCAGTACAAGTTTGTATCTTACTAGAAAGCCATGATTTACGTTTGATATCTGACAACTTCAGTAAAGAAAGATGATAGCATACTAATCTTTACAACAGCTAAACTGTATATTAATATTTCAGCTTCTTATCTAACCTTCTGGGGTCTCAATTTCTGCAACCTACGATTTGTTTTGCATAAAGGTTTTAGTCAAGCTTATAATATGGAACAGCCTCCCCCCAACATTTTTTTTGTGGTACTGGAGTTTGAACTGAGGGCCTACACCTTGAGCCACTCCACCAGCCCTTTTTCGTGATGGATTTTTTTCAAGATACAGTCTATAAAGCTATTTTGCCTGGGCTGGGTTCAAACTGCAATCCTCCTGATCTCTGCCTCCTGAGTAGCTAGGATTACAGTCGTGAGCCACTGGCACCCAGCTCCCCCAACGTTTTTTGACCATGCTAGCATTTCTGAAGTATACATAAGTCATAGCAAGTAATTTCCTGTCGGCAGTTCACTAAGGAACTTCTAAGGGGTGTGCTAGAAGGTATTAGTTTATCTTGAGAATGTGGATCTTTGGTTAGTTTTGAGACAAGCACGTCTGCCTCAGGTTTCCAGTTTGTTTTTATTTCAATCATGTAGGTTGCTGCCTTGCCTTAAGTTCCATTACCAATTGATGCAGTTAATTAGATGATAGTTATCTTTAAAAATCTGAAATCAATGTGTGTAACCAGATTAACTTAATTCTTTCATAATGAAATCTATATATAGTGGTTAGATCATGCAACTATGAATCTTTTTGTTTATGTATTAAAATCAGTCTTCTCTAAGTAGTAATAAAAGAGTGAGCCCTGGCATGCTTGTTGATGGGGTGAGATGAAAGTAACCTGCTAAAGAAGTCTGCAATGGTCTTTGGAGACTGCTTCCACATAAAAAGCAACTGGCTCTTCTAGTAATTAAAAAACCAGAAGACCATGTTTTTCATCAGCCTGTAGCAAAAACAGCACAGTACTTCTTTTTACATATTACCTCTTTAGTTGTCCCCGACACTATAAAAGATAGCCGTCTTCCCTCTACTAAATTTCATCCATTTAGAATTATTAGGGGAAGGAGATAAAAAAAAAACACCGTGGTTTGTTTGGAACCCCTTACCTGCCCTCCTTCCTGATATAAATCTGGTTATGCTAAAGATAGAAAACTGGATAATTTCCATAGCAAGGGAAAGAATTAGAATTCGCTTTATGCTGTATTATATGTATTCTCAAAACTAATTGTGACCTTGTGTTAATTAAGAGTAGATGAAAATACTGAGTCTATTTTGCTGTTGAAATTCAAGACCTGTGAATTTAAAACATTTTCATTTCCTTGGAGTCTGTAATCAAAGCATAACCTTTTCATTGTATGTGGAAATAAGAATATAAATAAATCATGCTTCTTTAAAAAAAAACACAATTTCAAAACTTGATCCAGACATAAATCTCTCTGAATAACAAAATAGTCCATTGAGGAGGGTGGGGCATGAACTTGATTTATTCTATTTTACATGAAACCTTGAGGCATTTTATATCTACACTTATGATAAAAGCTTAAGAATGTTGCAAAAAACCTCCTGGTTCTCCTCCATTCTATATAGAATATTGAATTTCAGTAGAAGCAACTTGATTCAGAATACTTCTCTCCTAGCTGAATTATGAGAAGCAGTTTTCACTGTAATACTTTTCAGGGAATATAACTTCAGGAGAAGATCCACGTGAGTTTAGGTAACTTTCTACTGTGCTTAAAATTACCTTAGATTAATCTGAGAATTGCTTCCTCTGGGAAAAAGGTTTATAGAAGAAAGAAGATTAGCTATGTGTCACTAACTGTTGAATAATAACATTGAAGCTTGGGTCCATTATGATATTCTCTACTTTTTGTGTAGTTTTTCATAATAAAGGAAATATCTTTGGTAACTGACCATCTGGAAAAGAGATGTTTGCTTATGAAGTTAATAAGAGTTCAGGTTTTTAAAAATTGTCTTGAATTCTGAAAAGAATTAAATTTATAAGACTTTGAAGAACAGATCTGTAGACACCTTGGTATTGGATAAGAAGTGAGTTTTTATTGTTTTAGCATATATTAATTGTATAAAGGATTCATTGTGATATTTCCATAGACACATATAATGTGCTTTGATCTTATCTACCCCCTCTGTTGTTTCTTATCCCTTCTCCCCCTTTCCCTTTCCCTTCCTCAATCTTTAACAGTTTCATTATTCTATTTTCATACATGTGTATGAAGTTCACATTCACCCCCAACTTCACCCTCCACTTCACCCTCACCTAGAAAATTTTGAAATTCTCAAGAATATTCACTATGTATGTGTATAACTACTTATAAATTAAGTACATAGTATTCATTCTAATTGAAACTAATTGAGGTAAGTGAACCATTTCAGGTTTTATTCTTTTAGTAATTGTTTTGATAATAATCAACATGATGGGTTCACTTTTTTTCCCTGTGATTCCCAGAGTGGATCTTGGAAACCAAAATATTACTGACTGTTAATTGTTTCTTTTTCCCAGGTTGGTGGTTATTGTCACTGGCCAGACCTTTTGGGAACAGGGGAGGGTGTTTCAATAATATATTGAGGTTTAATTGAATCAATTCTTAAGAATTCAGATGAGTTCAATGAATAAACAATGTGAAGGTCTATTCTAGTCAAACATTATTGGTTGAGTATTGATTTATTAGTATTGTAGATGGTTATCTCCCTTGCAGACCTCACTATACGTAAAATGCTGGGTTTTCATATTAAAAAATTTTAACTAGAATTAACTAGATAACAATTTAACTAAAATTATTAACTAGACTTCTGCCATAGTTCTAGGACACTAAAGTACTAGGTATAAAGAAAATGAATATCTTCTTTTCTGTACAAGTTACCTCAGATTGAAAGTTTTTACCTTAAATATGAAGCTGTCTTACTGTATTAAGATGTTTTTGCTTGCTTCAGCAGTTGTTTTTATTTTTTTATTCCTTCAGTTCTAGTGAAATAACTTGAAATACACAAGAAGTCCTTTCTGTTCTTTTTAAATTAGCGTACATTAATTGTACAAGAGGGGTTCATGTTTATAGTTTAATTGATGTGTACCCTATATCTTGAACAAGTTTACCCCCTGTATTATATTCCCTTAGCCTTCTCAAATAGTTATTTAGTGGGTTTCATTATGCTGTATGTGTATGTGTGTCCTCTTCTTTCCCTTCCCCCTCTTGCTGAATCCCCTCCCACTTCCCCTTCTACACTTATGTCCCATTATTATTATTATTTTAGGTCTAGAATCCACGTATGAGCAAAAACATGCAATATTTGGCTTTTTGAGCTTATTTTGCTCAACATGATTTCTAGTTCTATCTTTTTTCCTGTAAGCAATGTATTACTCCTTGGTTGTTTTGAAGAATGACATAGGTTTGACTTCTATTAATATAGTTTTGCCTTTACTCACTGCATATTTTCCTAGCATTTTATTATGAAAAACTTAAAAAATACAGAAAAATTGGAAGAATTGTGCAATGAACATTTGTATATCTACTTCTAAATCCTGCAATTAATATTTTACTGTAATTGCTTTTTCACATGTCCATCTATAAATCCTTATTGAATTTCAAAATAAAATTGCAGATTTATGTATAGTTTCCCCTAAATACTTAAGCATGCATAACTAGAATTCAGTATTTGTTTGACTTTTTTTTCCTTTTAAGGTTAAGTCATGTGCAATACATTGCACAGATCTTAAATGATCTTTCATAGACCAATGAAAACTAAGCCCTTATTAACATAACATTAATGGCTGGGTGTGCCTGTGGTTCACACCTGTAATCCTAGCTACTTGAGAGACTGGGATTTACGGGATTATGGTACAAGGCCAGCCCAGACAAATACTTTGTGAGACCCTCCTCTCAACCAATAGCTAGCACCACTGTGCACACCTGTCATCCCAAGCTAGGGGGAGGCTGAGGTCAGGAGGATCACGGTTCTAGGCCAGCCTGAGCAAAAAAGTTTGCAAGATCCCATCTCAATGGAAAAAAGTTGGGGCATGGTAGTGCATGCCTGTCATTCCAGAGACAGGAGAAAGTTCAAAACAGGATAGCAGTCCGTGCTGGCCTGAACAAAAAGCAGTCTTATCACCAAAATAACCTGAGCA